GGGTGTTGTGCGCTGGAGTTTGGGGAGTGTCAACCACTGTATAAGAATCAGCAACACAAGTTGATTCAACAATGTTTAATGCTATCATCTGACTATCATACACATGCGGTGAAAACTATAAAGGGGAAATTACAATGTACAAGATTAAAAAGTGGGCTGAGGTTAATCACAAAACAAGTGAAATTGAAAAGGAAAGGAAACTGAATACAAAAGGCTGGAACTTACGTCTGATCCTGTCTTTACAGGCTTAGAGAAACTGCAACGTTACATAACTAGAACAATCTTATGTAAAAAGAAACTCTGATCTATCTCCGCCGACCTCCTTACTCCAACTCACTTAATACTTAAGGGGCGTACCACTATAAGGGTGTAGTTCACATGTACAATTGCAAACTGGTATATCAGGAATGCTAGCCAAGTAGGTAATTCAAACTGTGAACAATAATACACTATGAAAATTGGGTTGTAAACTTGACAGAGAAATAAGACAGAACTATTTTCCTACTTAAAATAAAAACAAAATGATTACGTAGACAAAGTCTTCTCTGAATGTTCATTACAAGTATAGTTGTATCAAGTAACAGACCACTAGAGTGAGGAATTAATTGCTGTGAACAAATACAACAATGAGCATCATGGTGTGGCATAGATCCTGTCTTTCCTAAGACTACAAAAGCTTAGAAAAAGGATGAAAGATTTGCCACATGGGATTGAATAGGGTGAAGAGGAGCACTTTTAGGGAAGGAATTTCTTTGTAGAAAGAGCATGACTCCAATTTCATGCCATTTTTTCTAATCTAGTATTTGTTTCATCCCCTTTGGTTTTTCTATGGTGGGGGGCTTTTGGAGTCTCAGGGCAAAATCCTGGCAGGACTACTGTTATTGTTTACAATACCATTGCCACCATTCACAATGTTGATGAAATACATCAGAATTTCACCTGCAGATGAAATTCAGATGGAGAAATGATCTTCCCAGGTGAGAATTGTTTCTTCACTTGCAAGGATCATTTGTTCATCAGGTGGTCACTATTGTTATCATTTTCATGGTCACTTTGTTCTTAATTACCAGGTTCTTTTGGGTGCATGGTTGAATGCCATCGGTGCAGGTGTTAGAATTCTCAGTGGACTTGATTTTGTTCTTCCCAACATCAAATTCATTGTAGTGATGATTGGTCAAACTTCAGCTTCACTTGCCCAACCATTTCTCCTTGGGTCTCCTACTAAGCTGGCAGCCCTGTGGTTTGGAGCAGATGAGAGGGCCACAGCAAACATGATAGCATCTCTTAGTGAGTTTCATTATTAAAGAACCTCATCTTTTTTCACATCTCTCATGAGGCCACAAATTCCCTGAGGAAGACTTTTGGTACTTGGTACAAAACTAATGTCTGACCATTAGTTTTGTCACCTATAAACCCTTGAACTCTCAATAGTGATCAACATGTAACTTCTCCCATTGTTATTCATAAGTTATTCAGCAAACAGTTAATGAGAATACTCAAATTTATCTGGAATAAGTTGTTATCTTGATCTAACACCAAATTCTCATAACTAATTTTTAAGGAAATGTGTTGTAGCTAGATGGGAAAATGAACAGTCAGGTCTTGGGAGTTAAAAGGTTTAATTGACATGTCAATGCAACCAGTTCTTTGACAGACTGACTCTTGTGTGCACGTACATGAGATCAGAAAGTTAAGGTAGATTCAAATTTAAAAGAAATCTTGATGAAATGAAAAAATATTTTACCAAGACGCTCCATGTCGCTTACAAGCTATGAACTACTGTCAGCAGATCACTTAAACCCTGCAATTCCCAGATCCATTTTATTAGTAATTCTCCTCATTGACTGTCCATGTAGATAAGACAGGAGACCAGAACTTGGTCTTACACTTCAAGCTAACAACCTACCCTTAAGCTGATAAGCTTGTCTTTTTATATGATCTTGGTGCAAGGCAGTATATCTAAATTTAAAGGAGGGTTAACCTAGATTGTAATCACTTTTGGGAATTACAGGGTTAATTGACAAATTTTTGTACCTCTACAATTAAAAGACATGTAATGATAAAACTGGCGTACATTTTTTATATCTTGGTAATTTGTTGTTAGCCTTTTTTAATTGTCGTTTTGTTTTTAATTTTAGGCAATCCCATGGGAGTTATGATAGCTAATGCATTGGCTCCTGTAATTATAAATAATGAAAAAGACATTCCTTTTATGGTATGTTTCTTTAAAAAATGCAGTTTCTAAAAATTACTGAATGCTACTAGACTTTCAGTATTCGTATCCTTACAGGAATTAGTTAATTGTTTTGTAATGTAATACATTTCTTGAGTTGTACACCTATATCACCAATTTGTTACTCATGTTTGTTCAGTCAATTTTTTTTGAGGGAAATTAGCAGTAAGTTGACTTTGAGAACACTGGAAGAAAACATGGATGTTAACAAGTGTTTTTTTATGTTATTGAAACTTAGTTCTTGATTCATGATCATGGTTTCAATTTTTAGTTTCTGAGAATTTTCTTCATTTTTTTTCTGCAGTTGAAGATATTTTCAATTCCTGCTTTCCTTGGTGTTGTCATGGCAACCTTTGGAGTATGCAGTAGCTCCCCACCAACCCCACCCACAGCATCAGCAGAGTCATCATCAGAGCCTTTCTTTCAGGGTCTCAAAAAGGTCTGATAGAATTTTTACTTGTATATTGCTTTGCCCTTGTCCAGTAACATCCTTTGCTATTAAGCACTTTAGCATGCAATGCCTTAACTCATGGACATGATTACTGCTGTATATGATTACACTACTTTGTGGTGGAAGAGTATTTTATCACATATTAAGAACCAGAAATACACGTATTTAGAAAAATATTCCATTTTTGTCGTCATTTGTTTATACTAGGTGACTACTTATCCCATTCACACCAGCAAAAAAATGTTTAGTTCAATTGCATTTAGCTGAATTACAATCAGAAACAGAGAACTGAAATACTTAATTTTGAGTAGGATTCAAGTAATTGCTAACTTGTATTTTTGATATGCTAAATTTGAAGTTGACAACATCCTTTTTAGCAGCTTCAATAAAGAAAATGATTCTCAACCGTCTTTAGCAAGACAACTTTAAAACATGTCTAGGCTTTGATGAGAATGCTCCTACTCATTGCAGACATGCTTACATGTCTCATTTGGAGTGGTTGATGAAACAGGCAAATCCCAAATCCAAATCCAGTATTGTCACTCACTTCCCAAAGGTAGACACTTCCCATTGACATGCAGCACCCCTGAATTTGGCACCAATTTAAGGCCATGATACCACATAATCTTGACCTCTTAAACTTCTGAGAAGCTGATATCTCTCTGAACTGGAAAGTTCTCTTCCTCTTCAAATTGTACCCCTTTTGGGAATTTCTACTTTACCCAAATATTATAAGGAAAGAAGCCCACTTCAAACTGTTTCTTGTTGTCTGACATTATTAAAGACATAATATTATACCACTGAAATTTGTTTTTGAATCTTGACAACTATCTTATGTTTACATAGCCTCACCCTTTGTAATGAGAAACTTCTGCATTTTTGTTCAGCTTTTGCAGAACAAACCTTACCTAGTGTTATTGGTGACGTTTGGTTCTGGGATAGGCCTTTTTACCTGCCTTACAACAATTTTAGAACAAGTTATCTGCCCCAGAGGATATAGTGATGTGAGTATTGTCATGAAGATTTTGCAGTATGTGTCCTGGATTATTAAAATAACAAGCATAAAGAACATACCAGACATTATATTAATTTTTTCCATGCCTCCGGCGCATAATTTACAAACTTTTGGATCATGTGTACTTAAAGCAAACCAATAGAAAATGGATTCTATTGCTTCACCATCCTTACAAGAGGCAAAAAAACTTTTCTGTTGTCCATCTGGTCTGACTTCTTAATACACTTGTTTTTCTAAACTTTCCTTTGTTCTCATAAGCTGTTGCGTTTGTGGATTTTATTATATGAGACTTCATCAAAATTCCAAGCCAATCTGAAAATGTTATTGTCACTTGGAAGTTAAACACATTAATAAGTTATCAAACTCTTTTGACTGTAAAAAAAATGTAGAATATAATATTTAGAACTGGCTTTCAGAGAAATGAAATGGTATGACATTGAACCAAAATATTTTCACACAATGTGCAATGGTGCAACACTGCACTCTGTCTGTTGTTAGCTTCTGATAGCAATTGTCTTTTGATTGTTGTTTAAGGACATGGCAGGAACAGCAGGTGCTGTTTTGATAGCGGTTGGTCTGGTGGGAGGTGGATTCACTGGTGTGTATGTTGACAAAACCAAGAAGTTTAAAGAGACAGCAAAGATTTCATATGCACTGGCTGCAGTATCATGTTGTTTACTCTTATACGTAAGTAATTGATGCCTTGAAGGGTTAACATTGTAAGCTGTCCTCACCGCTGCCTGTAACAGGGTGGAGCCTTATTGTCTTAGACCAGCATAAATGGTTCAAGTTGTACACCAGGACATGATTGTTCAAAGGGTGGATAACACTATCCAGTGGATAAATCTCTATCTGGTGGATAGCCCTGTATGTTTTGTGAAAACTTATCCAACAGATAGTAATTTATCCATTGGATAGCATTATCTGCCCTTTATACAACTGGGCCCAGGACATGGTTGTTCCAATGGTGGATATTGCTATCCACTAGATTATAAACCCTTTACACCCTAACATCAGTTTCCAAGTTCTCCACACTTTCATTTGTTCTCATGACCTTTATGTTTGAGTCAGGGGGGAATATTGTAGGGAGAAATTAGATGCTAGTCGCTCATAGAGGGTCAAAGGGATAATGATGACTGAAATCCAAGATACAGATTTAAAAAGTAATAATATACATGAAAATAGGTGCTTCTGATTGGCTGAAAATGAGAGCATTTTTCTTGTAATTTGAGTGCAAATTTCAAATAGCATGGTTGCTGTCAAATTTCATCTGTCTTCATTTAATTTATGAATAAGTAATAACATGCAATTTAGTATTAATAAACACTTGCAAAATTTTTGAAAGACTAAAAATTGCAATTTTGTTGGCTTTGAAAAGTTTACTTGTGCTTAATAATGCCAAATGGCATGTCTTTTGAGAAATCATGTTATGGCCTGTACTAATTAATGATGACAATAGGAGATGAGCTTTATTTGTTTGTCTCATGATGGAGTCACTTTCAATGTTGATTGTGACGTTTCAACTGCAGTACTGCAAGTCTTCATCAGGTGATGAGGTCGATTGTTTGCACGTCACTATGTGTAGCACGTTGGTTTGCTGCTATTGGTGCATTTTGATCCTCATTATAATTCTGGTTGTTGATTGGTGTTCCCTCATTGGTCCTCATTGATAGGCTGTTGTGTTGTTTGATCATGGGTATCCAAGCTTCAGGAATTTTGATTCCACTATCCCTATTGATGTTGTTGGGATGAAGTCCTATATGGATAGCCTCTTTGACCCTACCTGTGTACCAGTGAGGGTCATGATAAATAAACTTAACCTCGCTCCAAAAGGAATATGCACTGTTTTGTTATAAATCAATGTCATTGCCTGATGAAGACTAGCAGTATTGCAGTCAAAATGTCGTGATCAACATCCAAAGTGACTCAATGGTGAGACAAAAGAATAAAGTTCATCTCCTATCCTGCACTACAATAAACAATAACCACATATTTTATTACATAATGCTGACAATGCTCTCAAATTTTCACTAGGTGAGTAGCAAGCCTGGTCAACCTGCTCTTGTTGTGGCCACCTGTGGCTTGTTTGGTTTTTTTTCATTTGCCCTCATGCCAGTCTGTTTGGAAGTAGGAGTAGAGTGTACCTATCCTGTGGCTGAAGCAACAAGTGCTGGGCTGCTGTGGATGGCAGGGTATATTGGTGGTTTTTTTGTTGTTGTTACTTACTACTGTCCCATACACAATCCTGACCTCCCTGACTCTAGCAATCAATTAATATTGAATGACAACTTTTGTGATCCCTCATTCAAACAAAACATCTGAGTGTGATATCCAACGAAAGTTCATAATGGAGAACCTTTGTAATGGGCCTTGCTTGCCATAGAGTCTCTGTGGCTCAGTGGTGGAACATTGGAGCTGAGAATCCAAAGGTCTGAGGTTTGATTCCTCATAGGACTCAGAAGTTTTTCTTTGTCCCTCACAGATGAAAAACATCTCTCTCTAAAAAAAACTTGCTCTGGTATTCTTCTCTCACTGGTGATTAGTTTTACATCTGATTGACAGAATACACCAAGTCTGCACTCTTGGTTGTGTGGTGTGACTGTCCAGGTAGAGGCAAGTCATTTTGATACAAAGTGGTTTTGACACAAGTCAATTTGATGCAAACCAAAGTTGATTACTCATGACCATGAGCCATTTTCGGTCAACACTCTCACTGGCCATCATCCCCTTGTTGCTTCATGCACATTGTAACAGTTTCAGTCACTTAACAAAGAGTCAGCACTACTTTACAGGGTATAACTTTAACCTAAGAATTTTATTATTTCTTCTTCACAGTCAAGCCACTGGGGTAATATTCATATTAGTTTCACAAGCTTTAGCATTTCCCAAAGTTTTCGAAAAGTCCAAGTGTCATCAGAAGTCAGGCGACAAGGAAGTTCCGGATTATCTGTATTCCATGATTTTTATGACGTCAGCGGCTGTTGCTATGGCAATTTTGATAATCTATGGCTTCAACCCTCCTTACAAACGCCTCCAGATGGAGCAAAGAAAAGAGGCTCAGAAAATTCTTCAAGCTGGTGCTGAGCAGAGACTTCCAAGTATACCTAACCCGTCTGACCCAGACATCAAAAACTTGTGCTAGGATAAAACTTGCAGACATTTCTTTTAGTTTTAGCAATGGTGGTTTGTTACCTCATCAGAGCGTATTTTGACTGACCGTATAAACCCTTCACCGGAACTCTAGAATAAAGGTAAAGATCACAAGAGGCCCATGGGAACAAATGTCTTGACTAAGCTTGGAATCACAAGTGTCTAAGGGGTTGATGGTTTTAGTTCTGCATCTGGGTCCAGTTGTTCAAAAAGTGGATAACTACCTAACAAATAAGAGTTAGAGAACGTACTGCGGTATCTGCTGGATCAAGGTTCATTCAGTGGATAGCGTCATCCGCCCCTTGAACAAACGGGGCTTTGGATAGCATATAGAAATGAAGCAAAACTAAGCGATTTAAAATTACTCTTCAAAATGATTTGAGAATTGCTTTTTAAGGCAGTGTACTGTTCCAAAAACTATCCTTGCCTTCCTCCGCACATGTTCACAAAGAATTTGCGGGGAAGCCAAGTTTAAGAGAGTACGATTTTTTCAAAAACGCATTAAGGTAAATGAAGATTTTGTCAGCCGGAAAATACTTCGTTAGCTTCATAAGGAATCGGCGATCTTAGTCAGAATGAACTGAGTGGGCAACAAACGCTTCGAGAGGCGTACGTTTAGAGTTCAATTAAGCCGACTCAACTCGATAGTTGATGAATTTAATAGTTTCATTTTCACGATCCTCAAAGTTGTACTCGTTCTTTTCAGCGGTCATGTTATGGCTGCAAAGCAAAATGACCTTCAAGTTACAGAAAAAAGTTAAATAATGTAACTCTTTACCTGGTGGGTGTAGGACTTGATTAAATGTAACGCGAACCTAAAAAAATGATAACTAGGTTATTTCATATATTTTATATAAATGTATTTAAATAACGCTTGTGGTGCTTGTTTTTTAAAAGTCCTCAAGGCGTTAAGTTTATGTGAGAATTATAAATGATATAGAATGGAGATACATGGAGGGATGCATACGATAAACGCAGTTAAATTATGCTGATTCTTTAATAAGTTCAACCGAGGAATTAGCCAGATATCATCTTACCACAACGGTTCTGAAATTATAGCGAGACACGTCTTTAACAAAGAATGCGCTCAACCATGTCTTTAGGTTAATACTCCTGTGGTTTATTTTTAGAAAATAAAGTATTTTTATTTTTATAAGGATTAAGATGTGCTACTGAGATCATCGCATATAGTGCACCTCGTGCCTCAGATTTTGCGCCCATTTAAGAATCGATAGAAGCCACGAGTTTTCATGAGTCGCAAGCAACTGTGAGAAAGTTTTCAATGGTAAGACAGCGGGATGTACCGATGATGATCTATCAACTGCGTCTTTCAGAAAAGCCGGTGCATGGCGCCCAACATAATTCACCGAAGGATTAAGCTGACATGTCTCAAGATAGTGATGACTCTGATGTAATCTAATGCAAACAAAGCAATTTAAATGTGGTCAAAAGCATATCATCATTCTTTTTCTTGCCTCTGATTGTGCCGGAGTTTTACCCGGTACTGAGTTCTTCGTTTAGTGCATGATTGTTGTGTCTGCCGATAGTGCGCATTCCGTGTCCTGCCTTCTTTTGTACCTGACTGATTACGTCTTCGCATAGCACTCACTTACTTTCAATGTGCCAGATTTGTAGGTCTCCTGATATCGCTCACACCATCTTGCGCCAGCTTGTTGCGTCTCCTGATAGCGTGCACTCCGTTTTATGCATGACTATGGTCTCCAGTTAGCGCACACTCCGTTTTTCTCTCCGATTACTATGTTTCCCGGGCGTGTAATTTCGATTTACGTCTCGTAATAATTTGCATACTGACTTGTGCCTGATTATTACGTCTCCTAATAGCGTGCACTTCGTCTTTGTGCCTGACTGTTTCGTCTCCTCAAAAGTGGGCTTTCTCTTTTGCATACGATTGTTACATCTACCGTTAGCAGCACTCTGTTTTGTGCTCTATTATTACGTCTCGCAGTAGTGTGCTGCTCGATTTGTCCCTGATTGTGAAATCTTCCGATTACGCACACTCTGTTTTGTAAATGAATGTGACGTCTCTAGTTAGCCAGATCGTCACTTCTCCCGGTAGAAAGCTCTTCGATTTTCGGGCAATTTCTGCAGCTTCTGAAAACACAGGCAATATTTATCCTTAATTTTGCTCGGCTCCTTGCGATTACCTATACTAATTAATTCGTCTTCTGATAGCGCACGCTCCGTTCTGTGTCTGACTGTTACGTCTCCTGATAGCGCACTCCGTTCTGTGCCGTACATCTTTCGGTGGTGCGCAGTCCCATTCGTGTCTGATTATTACTTTAGGTAACGCTATCTCTGTTTTGCGTCTGATCTTTAAGTTCCCCGTCAACGCACACTCTGTTTAATTTATTCGCCTGGTTTATTTGAAGTCTCCTGGTTGGACAAATTCTTGTTCTTGATGTTTTGTCTTTGTTAAAGCAGTAACGTGACTCATGTTTGATCAATCTTTTGTTTGACTGTTACCTTTCCCAGAAAAAAATTATCCTGTGTTATTTCATGTTGTCCCATAACAATTATTAATGCAAAAATGTTGGATTAAGTTGGTGTTAAATATCCTTAGGACCTTAAGAACCCCTGAAAGTTTTTTAGTGGTGCTCACTATTCAACTCTCTGTCTTCCTTTGGCTGCACCATTGCGCTCCTTCCGTTTACTAAGTGGCTAGAACATTCACGAAGTAGGGAGATAGACTACGCTTAATTTTGAGTTCTGCCCTAAGCTTTAAAAGGAACGGAGCACAGTTAGTTGAGGCTTCTCTTACCATACGGTTTTATGAACATCATTTTTTCAAGCCCGAGAGTCGTACTCCAGTTAGATTATGGGGGTAAAGAAAGAAGAAACTTTAATGCTGCATCGGTGGGGGATTACAAGATATTTTGGTTTTATCAAAAGAGTTGATAATATAAATAGTCCATCGTCAGGAGCCCATTGGGCTCCTGTCACCGTAAAGAGTTTCTAAAGCTGACGTTTCGAACTTTCACCCTTCATCAGAGCAAATGGTTGCCGACATACTGTTGTATTGGGTTCCAGTCTGCGGTGATTTGGGCCTAGTCTGGTAAGGGAGGTTATTTGCATGCGGTTTGAAGTCGCACATACTTTGGCTGAAAAGCGTTGGTTATCGACTTACTGGCACATCGCTTTCGGAGAATTTCAGTCATCTTCTCTTTGTACCCCGCTGCTTTTAGGTTCGGAGTTAAGTCCCTTTTTAATGGATACCAGTTGCGGCAGGATGCACAAAAGAAAAGGGCTGTACTTAATTCTTATCGTCCTTAAAAGAGAAAGATCAGCGAGGATCGTGAGATTGAGCGAGTCAATGAGCAAGGCAGCGTTGATAAAATCTGAGCCAGAGCAGGTTGTCAATTGACAACGTATAAGGCAAGACAAAAGCCGTTACGGTTTGCTTTCCATCATAGATTGCCACTAACATCAGTAGTATTTTTACGTGACTGAGCGTGTTTAATTATCCATTTTGTATCACTTTCATCTGTCTAATCTCCCCTCCCTCCCCCCTCCCCCCGTTCCAAACTTATGGGATTGACATTACGAGGACTAATTCAGGAAAAATTAACAGTCACTTGTTCTGGGAATTCGGTATTTTGTACAAATTATGGCTTATGATTATTGAATGCTGCTATAAATTCCATTCAGTGCCATTTTTCATATACTGAATTGCTAAAACAAGATAAGACATTCTGATTCCCCTTCCAGAGAGATTTACTCTAATTCAGAATATCATGTCGCAATGTGCTGACTATACTTTTCAGTCGAATATCTATTCCTTCAAATGAAAATGTTACACCAGATACCGCCTATATTTTTGTATTCCAGTATTGAATGAAGAATGTTTGAGCTAAACATCAAAACACATGTACATATTGTAGGGCTATTTTTTTAAATAAAGTATCGATACGCTTCGTTACGTGATATTTGAAGTACTTTCCCAACGATACTCGTTATCAAGGCCTGCTCGTTATCAGTCCCCCAAATCATTTCGTGAAGATTTGGTAATCTATTTGGTTTTCTGAGTACGAACGAACCTGAAAGATGGATAGAAGAAATATTGCTAAAGATCTGAGAGAGTATTCATTAACTCTTACAGGCCTGGTAGGGTTACAGCTACCATGCCTGGTTTCTGCAGCACAACCTTCCTCGCCACTGGCTCAATTCCAGTCTTATGGTCTCCTATTCAACATGTCGAGTGCAACTTTGAAAGATCACTTCTCTTTCTCCCCCGAAAATCTCGCTCAAGGACGATATCACACTCTTGTCACGAACCTTTTCAATCACCAAGGTAAGCTATGGTATTCACCTCGTGAACTTTGTGCCTTCGTCTTCAACTTAATTGTGAAGCGGGTTTTTAAACCAAATGTGGTGATGCAACAACCATAAATCGATGGTTGTGAAAATTGTATTAGTGACGCAAATGATCACTGTTGCTTTTCAACTTTTCAATCTGACGATGAGCTACAAACGTGTAGCAAATGCTACCAATATATACCATGTTGTGGTTTCAATGTAAGTTGGTTTGATTGGCATGTGATGGCATGCAATTTTTGAAGTTCAAGGCCAAAGTATAAATATTCATTAACTGCTCTACTGCTATAAATAATTTGTTTATTTCGTGGAAACCTTGACATAACTCAGAAACAGACACACTGGACAGAAAGTCAGAATTCTTAACTCATGGACCCTTTTGGCCTTTTTTGATCTTAATATTGGCTTCATCAAACACAACTGCATGCTGTGATTTCTGTTTAGCTTGATTTAACCACAGGTGGCCCAAGCTCCAGCTGTGAGATGATTATCTTGCATAATAAGAGTCATGGCAAAATTATAAGAGTTTGTACAGGAATATTTACAACCACTCTTAGGAATAAAAAATACAGTCAAATTCGCAATGAAAATACCTTACCTTACTTCCACAGTGTATCATTTGCTGTCTGACAGCTTGCTATGTTGAAAAAAAGCTATTTTGGCAAATTATCCATTTCTAGGTTTACTACGTACATAATAAAAGCCCAAGGCTGCACACTCCATTTCTGAATGCTTGATCCACGAAGTGAAAAATCTAAGCTCGAAATGACCAGGTGGCCACAAATCCAATGCAGAATCCAAGCACATATACTGTAGTTTAATTTCAATTCACTATAAACTCAATCTTCCCCATGAAATTGATGCTACGCTGCAGTTTGCTGAAAAAATTTCCAGTTTAGACCTTTCTAACAGCCCGCATACACATTCACCTTAGTACACCTAGAAATGGATGACTCACCAAAATAGCTTCTTTTCAACATAGTAAGCGGTCAGATAGCAAGCAATGTGCTGTGGAAGTAAGGTGAGGTATTTTCATTGAGAATTTGTATTTTTTATTCTCAAGAGCGGTTGTAAATATTCCTATACAAACTCTTATATTTTTACCATGAATCTTATTTCACAAGATGATGATCTTACAGCTGGAGCTTGGGCTGCCTATGATTTAAAGAGTGTTCATTACACAAACACATTCCCAGAAACCTCCACTGTGAGATAAATATTTCAACATAATTATAAATGAGTAGGGTGCTTCAAGTGTGAGAAAAATTATGAACAGCTATCAGTTACAATTCTCAAAATTGGAAGTTTGTACATCCTTTCTGTGTGGATTGTGTGATGTTTCATGGTTGCTTATGAGCACAGACATTATTATGCCACAGCCATGTAAGATCTCTGTGGATGTAAAGTCTGTCCAACCTTCACCTTTGTTTGATGGGCGGAAATAAAGCCTTTCATCCCCAGGTTTAAAGGCTGCTGCATCTCTGCTGGTCTGTCACTGTATCTCTACTCTCCTTTGGTGACACGTGAAAAGAAGATTTATCCAAAAATAGTTTCAGGTGTTCTGGTATTTGTTAGCATGTTTTGTTTTGTGTTGTTTACTTTTTACTTATAATATTCAATTTATTTCTATATATGGTCTTATGCCCAAAGGTTATTTTTCTGCTTTTTATGTGAGAACACGTTGAAGTCTGCATGGAGTGTGAGTATTGGTCATGCAAGCAGCTGGCAAGTGCGAGCAGAGAATACCTGTTCACCCTGTTGTGTTTTTAGACATAGCTATCCAATATACTTGACATCACTATTCTCACCAACAAGAACCAATACTTTATTAAATGTACAATAACATCCTTTGGAAGCCCTTTATTCATTTTCAAATGAGACAGACATTCAGGAAAGACTGAAGATATTTAACAGATTCATTGTTCAGAGGGAATGTTTGCCTTGGATTGCTTACAACTGGGTTTAGAAAAATTGTGTTTAGTCAACTTTTGGGAGCAGAAGAGCATAATCATTAGTATGCCATGGGCATTACTTCTCTGCCTACCTACTGCTTGCGTAACTCATGCTCAACACTTGTTTAGAGCTTTGTGTATAGGCTTGCAACAGGACAACAGCTCTAGAAGTACCACAGGGAGCTTAACCCTTCAATCTTTGTAATGTTTGTTAATTTCTATTTTTCTGACTTTATTTCATAGATGAACAGCACCTATTCAATAACTTTGCTACACTCGTACCAAATGGTTACCATGTTCATAGACGCTTTGGTCGAAAGCATTTATTGGCAGCATTCTTTGGGGGTGGAGTTGCTGGAAATCTCACCCAGTTTTGTTTCTACATATTTCAAAAAATCCGCTGGGAGACTGTTCTACCATCACCAAATTCTTGGGGTCTTCTTGGGGATTTCTTGGGCAACAAAGCAGACATCTTGCAAAAGTTTGCTCTTGATAAAGCCTTTACTTCAATTCATGGAACAACATCGTGCAAAGGTGCCAGTGCAGCAATTTGTTCTATTGTCGCCATTGAGACATGTGCAAATATTGTTTCCTTATATGACAAATACATTGAACTAAGAAGGCGGCGAAGGTTAGGAATAGCAGATCGAGAATGGGACAATCAGATGACGCAAGAAATGATGTATGAAGTGTGCCATTTGGGGCTTGTAATCACAGTTCTTCTGAGTGACTTGGTGCCTCTATTAGACAGTACAACTCCTGGTAAAGGAATCATTAGCACATTTGTGGCATACTCTGCAGATGGCATTGGTCATGCAGCACATATGGGGGGTTTCATATTTGGTGTTCTATATTATTTGATTGCATTATCTGGCAACAGAACACCGGGTAATAATAGATGATCACAATAAAGCTCAATTATGGAGTGGGAAGTTACAGAGATTTACCGGACCAAAATGTTTTAATGGCCAGTAAATTCTTACTCCATCAAAATGTACAAACTGGTATTTTTAGGACATAAATATTAGAACCATGCCAAAAGTTTAAACTTTGTTACGTCAAATATTTTCTGTAATATTGGTCACACATGCTTCCTTTTAACAGACACTCCTTCTGGAGAAAGAAGTCCCTTGTAAGTAAAGAAGGTCTTTTTCTTACGCCACATGTAAGTGATCGTCCTTAAATTTAGTCTCTCAGGATTGTTCAAAACACTATTGAGCTTACCCAGGATTATAGTTAATTTATTTTTTTTGTTTTTGTTTGTTTTTTTTCTTTCATAGCTTTTCAAAGAGCTTTCCTGTTAACATTTTATTATATTCTGTCTTATATTTCACTTACTAAAGATCATACCAGATACATTTTGCACAACCAGGCCTTGGTAGACTGTAAGCTATGTCCCATTACCTTTGATAGACCATAAATAATGTTTATCAAAATCATAGCAAAGGTATTGAATGGTGTGCATCAAACAAAAAATTACTTTAAGAAACAGACTGAAGATTTTGTCATTCAGCTGTGAAAAAATGTTACCAGCTCACAATCACCAGACAGTGATCAAGCTGTGCCATCAACTGAACTTTTGGCAACATTGATGCTGAGCTTATATGAGGGATGCATTCACTTGGTATTTATTTAGTAATTAAAAAAATTAGTAACAGTATTTTAATTAATAAAAGTGTTAATTTTATAGCGAGACAGAAAAAAGAAAAAACTCTTATTTTACAGTTTTATTTGGTAGTATATATGGGTTTGCATTTTCACTAAGACAAGCTTGCTTTCCACCATTCTCTCATGTCCAGTCTTTGTTCCTACCCAAGAGGAGGAGCACAGGCTCATGTTCCCAAACAGGGGCTGGTAATCGAGCTTCATCCTAGCAGGCTCCCAAAAGTTAAAGTGGCCTTAAACTAAATGGACATCTGCATCAGACCACAATTAGAAATCAAAAAAACAATTCCATAGTTTCAAGCAATTGAGTACAGTAGTGCAGTTACTTGGGTATTAATATACATGAAAAAAATTATGTGCTTCTAATAGGCTGAAAAGGAGTGCTTTTTTCTGTAACGTGAGTGCAAAGTTATACTACGAGTGCAAATTACAAATGGCATGAGTATGCTGTTAAAATATAGTCTTCCCCAACTTTGTGATTTTTTTTCATGTAAATCAGAAATTAAGAAGCAATAACATTTCTTATGTAATTTGGTGTAAATAAGCATTTGGAAAATTTTCATACTTCAACTTGCACTCACCCTACGGCCTATTAATACCAAAGTGCATGTTTCCTGTCTCTACCGCTTTCATTTGTTGTTTAAGCAGGCTTTTGACAAATCTGTTTTAAATGACTGTACAACTACCATTGACACCCAACCTTAACGTCAATTTGCTAAATTTCAAAGTTCTGTAAATGTCACCTATTAACTATTGCTTCTTATTGTTAACTGTTTCATGTACCCATGGCCTTTTCATTAATGAATTGAGTTACTGCACAAATTTCATTGTAAGTGCTTTCCTTTCAAGTATTCACCTTGTCACTTCAAGGCTTAGGAAATATTTTTTCCCCAAATCAACCCCATTTCAAAGAATAACCAATTATCAATAGTAGCATTATCAGTGCCACAGTCCTTATCTATAGTCAACATTAACAATTTCATTACTGTTATTACTATCAGTATCATTATTCTCCTTAATTCTATGGACACTGAAGTGATCCAGGAGAAATCCCAAAATTGTTAGCTTTAAAATAATTATAATTGTAATGATAATAATAAACTTCATCAATTTTTTTTAACATTCATAGTATTGGTTAACAGAGCCTGCAAATTATCATGCAATTTCAGCTCACAGGGCAATTACTGACCCTTTCACCCCTTAAAGAGACTGGCATATAATTTCTCCATACAGTATCACCACTGAATCAAACATTAAAGTCATGAGGTAAAAGGAAATGAAACCAAACTGAAGAAGCTCACTATTGCTACAATCTCCTCATCAGTACCACAGGAAATATACAAAGAACAGTATGGATGATATGCACCTACTAGCACTAGGTGTAAAAGGTTGAAGAGAACAAATAAAATTCCTAAGACTCCATAAAGTACTATAAGTATTAACAGAGGTGTTACTTAAATAAAAAAAGTAATCTCTTCATTGCAATTATTGTAAGAGTGATAATGAAAGTAACACAATTCATTAAAATAAACTTTATTCAACGCTCTCCTTCAGATTGTTTGTAGATATAACCAGAAGATCATTATACACTTTAAAGTGCCATTATAACAAAGAACAAATAAATTATTGGTCTACCTCATACACCACCAATGCCAAATTGTAATTTTTATGAAAAAAGTTCTTAAAGGAATCAATTTACACTTTTGAAACAGCAAACATAAGAAAAGATTAGGTTACAATTTATGGATTGGATCAAATGGTTAGCATGTAAACTGTTAAAATTTACAACATCCAAAATACTGTCTCCTTCCTGCACTGATCCCCAGTAACCTAATAGTAATCATTAAGTTAATAAAAATCCTCTTGGATAATTCAATCTGTATCCTGTTACATCATATCACCAGAACAGACTATATACAATTACAAATCATTGGGTCTGCAAGAGAAACCAGAAGAATGTGTAACATAATTTGCTTTAATATTCACAGTTGAACATGTTAAGAACTCTCTTCATGACCACAATACAAATAACTAGCGGACAATGTATTGTTAATGGCCTTGTCAAAAGATTTGGGTCTGTGCCCTGAACAGGTCATTGTTTAGTGTTGCAAAACTCTTAACTCTGACAGAGTCTATCTCCAACTAGTATTAAAAGTGAACTGAATTGTAACAAGATGCTAGGGTGTAGACTGCTGACAACTGAATGCTAAAGAAACTTGGATAAGCTCCAGTGGTGAAAGGTACAGAATAGAGAGCCATGTATAGCTAACATAATAAAAGCTCCTAGTTTTTCATTCGATAACAGACAGTTTGTCAATTAAAATAAGCTTGATGTGACAATTCAGGGCGTGAAATTACACCTAATACAGGCACCAATGCGACCAAATTTTTCACTTTGGCGACCAAATCCTTAAAGTTAGTCGCCAAATTGGCGACTAGAATGTTTCATTATAACCTACCAAGAGATATAGAGAATTCAAAAAATTTGCAAAGATAAATCCGCGGCAAACTTCCTTGTTAAGTTTGTTTCCAAAACGTAGCACATGCATCTCGATCGATAACTAGATGCCATCTTGGATTTAGATAAGCCTGAACGTTGTCCACTTTGTAGCACGTTAAAGATCTTTTCCCTAACTTAATTTTGGAGGGCCTATCTAGAACGCTGACAGCGTAAAGAAAGATTTTGTTTGTCTTTGAAAATGGCGACCAACTTTTTTTGAATTGGCTACCACTTTGAAGAATTTAGGAGCCAAGTGGCTATCAGAAAAAAAAGTTAATTTCACGCCCTGCAATTATGAAGTAAACTGTAGGATGATATCTTGGGGTTTTTTAGTTACACTTGCATTCCAACAGACCTAAAATTCATATTGGCTGATAATGCCTATATATTTGTCAGCAGTCTTTAATAACTGCAAAGGAATATGCAAAGGATGCTGTATTGAAAACAATTTGAATGTAGCAGATAGTAGAGTACACTTTAAGAGTCAAGAGAAAACATATAAGAATTGTTGTTCCACAAAATCCTATTTATTAAGATGCTAAAAATATTTTGTACCTGACAAACAAGAGGAAGAGTTTGATGGATTACTTAAAAATGGAACACTGCAAATCTCAGCATTTTGTTGTCTGCCAAAGTCTAAACAAAGTCAGAGCTTTTGTTTTTCTTTATAAATGTGTCCTGTGTAACATGCTTTTTCTGTTTGATTGGGCCAATACAGTAAAAGAAAAAGGTTTTTGAAAAGATGCCACTCAATTGAAAACCATAAGAACACCACACCAGGTTTGTTTCTTGCAATTTTGGGGGCTCTGCTGCCTTCATCAGTTTCATTATATTTTCATCTTTTTTTGTCAGTACCTTGTAACCAGCCTTTAGTATTTACCTTTAATGTTATTCATGAGGCTAAACATCTTTGCCTCCCCATTCCTTGACAGCTGCCCTTAATGCCCCTGCTTCTATTTCTGGTCCAATAAGAGGATTAAGTTGACAGAAATAAGCACAAATCCAGCTAAATCATGAGTTAAGGAAATAGGAACCTTGAATAATGTGACTTTCCTTGTTTCCTTAAACAGTTAAAATGCAAATGTACCAATATTAGATCAAAAACAAATTTCAATAAGCAAATAGCTATGAAGCTCAAAACTCTAAAAGGATACAATAACCAACAGCAGACAGCAGTCATAACAAGCATTGTCTGTATCAATCTGAAATCACAAATGTTGGAAAGTTAACTTTGTCATAACCTAAAACCATGTTTTCAAAGATTTTAGCTTGAAGAACTGCACTTCAACATCCTTATAAGCTTCCTTTTCTTCCCTTGAATTAAGTTTAAGTCGAAGGCTAAATTTTTGGAGAAGATTGGCTATACCCCTCCGAAACTGCTCAGTTTCTTTAATACGCTTATGATGATGTTTTCCCGAGAGGAGTTAACCGTCTAACCCCAGAAATGATTTAAATGTACTGAACTTCTCTTAGTAATCTCAAAACATTATCCGGTTAAAAATAGCCATGAGAAAGAATCAAACTTGATATCGCGTAACACCTAATTCTTTTAACTAAGGAACAAGAAAATGCGTGGCAACTAGTAGTAAAAATAAATCATCAGATCTTAGGAGTTGAAAAGGGTTCACAGAGATTTAAACCAGGTAAAGGATATCGGAAACATTACATTCACATTGGATTTCGCCAGACTTAAAGGGTCTTTTCTGAGAGTTCAGTGGCATTAAAATTTTGAGAAGTATCAAATATCATTTACCTCTTATTCGGTCCTTTGATAAAAAGAGGAACAATTCCACCTACAATTACCCATATGGCCGTTACAACAATAACTGGAACAACTGCCAAACCTACTGCATTTCCCTTGTTCTCCATCTTGAATTATTCGGACATGTAAAGTCACGTGAAGATGTAACATTGCACCTGTAGAGGATGGCGGGAGTCGATCCAGTTTCTCTCGTGTTTGTCATGTCAACATGGCGGACGAAAGTGGCCAAATTGGCGTAATGTTAATTTGTGGCATTCCTGCTGCTGGAAAGTCTACATTTGCAAAAATATTGCATAAATACGTGCAGGAAATAACGGACGGCTCTTTTCACACAATATATGTGTGTTACGATGACTTAATTCCTTTTGATTTAGACTTGTATGGTAGCAGTACGGAAAACCCAGCTCAAAACGGTTTGGAAATGGAAACCGAAAACAGGGTTGGTAATAGCGAGACTCTAGAGAATTTTGAGAACTACTCATTATGGAAACAGCACAGAAAATACATACTCGAAGCAGTCGAAAAAATTATGAATTTGTTACAAAATAGTCCATGTGGAAATGGAGATGAAGGAAGCGGATCAAATCTTGAGGCAGTTGAATTGAAGATGGAAGGATTGTCTGGTTTTCAAGAGTTTTGGGGCATTTTCCTAAGAAGCATATCTAAGAAAGACAGAAAGTGTTCCTGCATTGAGAGTGGTTCAAGTAGCTGGAGGTAAAATACGTACGTATTTCATCCCATGCCATGATTGCTTTAAGACCACGGACTTACGCCAGCGGATTTGCTTGGGGTTGCCACCTGAAATTGCCCAGAATCCCATCATTTATAGATCAATGATTTTTCAAGGCTTAAGATTTAACCCTCATGCATATCACTGTCATTGTTACAGGTGGAATGGTAGTGCTCATGTCATTTTAGTGGATGACAATATGTTTTACCACAGTATGCGGTATGAATACGTCCAGCTAGCAAGAAAATGTAAGTAAACTGTACACATAGGGGGGTCTTTTAAGCCTACACCAAAGGTACTGGTATGCATGGAATTAAATGATAGACAATGCAGTTACACAGAGAGGCCAACTTCTCAAAATCTTAAAGGTAGAGATATTTGATTTAGGATCACATCCTCCTCCACTTCAAGAATTGATCAGTTTGTCCCAGTCTCACCCCACACATTGGTACAGTAGTTGCTGGAATGGACATACTTAATACAAATCAATTAAAAATTACAAAATTTTAAAAAAGTTCAACCATACTTGATAGGGAAACTTGATAATTTTCAAGGAAGAAGGAATTTTACCTTTTCAAACTTGTATCTAAGATTTTTTATTGTACTTGGTAAAGGGGACTACGAGATATGTTCTGTATGTTCAACTCCTGCAAAGACTGTTAGAATTTGATATATAAATTCTAAATGACTTGTGTAGCAGCAACCCTACTCTATCCTGTACATTACTCTTTGGGATGACACCCCTTCTCTCTGGGGAGCTGCCCATACTCCATCCAGTCATTAGATAAATTAATAAAGGGGGTTTCTTTCTAAAGGAAATGTGGTGCCGCGTTGTGGGAGAGTATAACAGGGTAATTTAGCATTATAAAGAAGTTGGTATTATGTAAATTGGCCACCTTAAAGAGTTTTAAAGCTAAAAATCAGCTTTGAAACTCTTTGTGGTGGACAATTTACATAATATCCATTCACTGATAATACTAAATTACCAAGTTATTAGGTAAGTTCTGAGTCTATCCATTGTTTTATGTAATACTTGGCTCATCCAAAGAAATTGTCCAGAACTACTTCAACCACACTAAATAAAATTCTGGTTACTACTATGATACTGAAAAAGAGTGTTTCAGCTGTCACTGTTTTGTTTCAAGGAAGACAGAGCTGGGTTTGCAGAAGTGTTCTTGAAGTGTCCACTTGAAATTGCAGAGGAGAGAAACAACTTAAGGAGCCACCCAGTGTCATCAGACACTATGAAGAATATGTTTAGTAAAATGGAACCTCCTGAGCCTGATAAGTTTCCTTGGGAGCAGTTCAGTGTCACATTTAAATCTGAAGTACAATGGGATATTGAAATAATGTAGGTTGATCCGCTGAGAAGATTTGAATATTGCATTTATTCCACAACATCCAAATTCTCACAAGAGTCCATTCATAATGTGAATGCATCATATAGAAGGTTTGGCTCCTCTCTGAATTCATTGCTTTTCTCTAAAGCAATGATTGAAATTTTTTTTTATATGAAAAAGGGGCCATGCACTAAAAATGACTTAAATTCATTTATTCATTTTTAAATTCATTTTTATAATTGCTTTGAAAGGAATTACAGGAGGCGACACCTTCAAATAGTCTTTAAGACTGGTTTACAACTGATTTCTCTGAATACTTAGAAAAAATTATTTATAGACTGGACTTTTTTATAAGTGACATTCAGTGAACTCTAAACCTGCCCCTCTTCAGAGTGGGATCAGGTTTATTTAAGATACATCTCATGATAACAGTTTAATAATAAATGATGCCTGAAAATTCTTATGTGATGTGATGTATGTTATTTAATATTTTTTCGTAAGGGAGAGTGTGACTCTACTTATTAGAGAGGCTTTGAAGCACCCAGCAGTACAATGTGTGGAGGACTTTGAGGAAAAGGTGGGAATGTTTATAACTGTGACTGATGGATTTTGAACTCTCGACTACCTGTACTGCTCACAAAATAATGTTTCTTTGTTTATGGAGATTTAATCAATCAATGAGAAAATTACAATACCCCTTGCTGACAACATGATCATGATTAATAGTAAAGCCAGAGCCATAATCATTGTTTTGCTCATCCATAGATACTATAAGCCTTCATAAATAACTGATATACTAGATTGGTAAAAAAAAAAAAAAATTTTGTTTATTGCACTGGTAAATCCATAGAAGATTACAACAATTGAAGTGCATTTTATGAAAGCAATAGGCCTCACATTTTTATCAGTTTACCAGCATAATAACCCAATTGAGATGTTGGGAGAACACAAGAGAAGTTTGTACATCACTCCAGCTTGTGATTTACATCTCAAGTGGGTTATTATACCGATAGACCAATAAAAAATGCAGTCTACTGCTTTAAGAAGTATTATCTCAAATTTAAAAATCAATAAACAAGTGCAAATTTAGTCAATTAAAAATCTAAGGAAGCTATCTAAGTATTAGAGGCTCTCTTTTTATGCTTTTATAGGAAAAGTCAAGAATGGCATGCATAACAAGCATTGTCCATCAGACTGACCAGGTTCTTAGAAAATATGTCAGTAAGGTTATCTCTGAGGCAAAAGGTAGGTTTTAACAATAAGAAATTAAGAATTACATGCCACTTGTCATGTCAGGTTTAAAATAAAACTGGATCCAAACTGGAGGGCAGAGGATAGTTGTCTTCCTTCTGTGATATAAAAATTGCAGTTACTTCAAATTATTCTGTTCTCCTGTTCAAATTCATTTGCATAATCCCAATAAAGGTATTTATGGGTTATTTTGTGTTTTTGTACATCACAAACACGTGCAAACATGCATTGCATATTGTTTTGACTCCATCACATAGAAATAATTTCAAAAAAATTGTAATATTAATGAACAAGTACCAGTAAGTTGTGATATAATTTGAATAATTGATGCTTTTAGTCATGAAAGTGTGTTAAACCGTAATTAATGTGGGACAGGTTTCACTTAGAGGATTCTCCTTCCAATTCCCAAATAAATTACAGTGGTTCATTCATGTTTTATTGCACTATGTTTACTTCATGTCAAGCTAAAAAAAAAAAAACTTTCTCAGTAAACCAAACCGTTTCTGCTCGATTAACCTCACAATGATGTGCAGATAGAAGGGGGGAAATGTTTAATTTCTTAATACTGTCTGAGAGGGAGGTTATTCTATTATTTTATTATTATTTTTCTATATTTTAAGAAGGAAAAACTATCTGTTAGATCAGAAATAATCATATTTGAACAGTGGCAGCCATATGCAAGTATTCCAATACCTTGCAAATAATAATAATAATCGCAATAAAAATATTTATTGGTATTATTGTTAAAATTTTTATCTACTCTATGACTGGTAAAATTGCTCTGTTTTCCTAAAATATTACCAATGCAGGCAGTGGAAAGGGGAAAAAAGAGCTTCAGTTCTTGGCAGCCCAGTTAAACAAGCAGAAGAAGGCATTTCTGGACAATCTACACAGCATCAAGAGCTATTCTGAATGCAGTGGCAAAGAGAAGAGGAGTCTAGCTTCTAAACAACACTTGCCTGGTGATAAAACAGAGATCACAAGGGACAACTCTCGTGAAAGAACACTTAACACAGTTTGCAAGCAATCAGACACATCTGATGAAAAGCAAATTGCTCTTGTCCAAGGAAGTTCCCCACATTTTAAAAACATTGTGGCTGGACAGTCAAGAATTGGTGATTCTAGATCACACTTTTGTCTCTGCTGCTTTCCAGATGTTGAAGATAAAGAAGAATTTAAGTCATATGTGGAAGAATTATTTAATGAAATTATTCAATCATAGGACAGTGCTTTTAAAATTAGACAAATTATAGAATTCCAACATTAAATAGGCCAACAGTTTTAAGCAAGAACTCAATACATGAAGTTTAAATTTTTAATGCTTGCCAAATTTTAATTATATTTCAAGTTTCTTCTGAGTTTTGTCCAATGTTAAATGACTTTTAGTAATTATAAGTCTCCCAGAAAATGATGGATTTACAATGTTGCCAAATTTATCCAACCCTTGTTATTATGAAAAGTTGTGGCATAGATCAGGAAAGAGAAAACTAAAAAGTTAACAAATGATACAACTTTGATTCTTAGGAAAAATTACTTTTTTAAATTGTCATATCACTGCTGGTTTCCCCCAAAAAGGTTCTTTTGTTTTCTTTTTATTTCAATTTAATTTTCTTAAAAATTGGTAATAGTTATTATGAGCATAAACACATGCTTGTTGAATATGAGATGATTATAAGCAACTAACACATAGGACCATACACCTCACTGGCTGTCTATCATCTGGAGTTATGTAAATGTGAAAGTCAAAACCCCTCAACTCCCATAAGTGACAAGACAGAATTTCTCCCTTACAATATCGATCCAACATCAAGCAGACAAGTGATGAGAAAATGAAAAATATTCATTAGGGGATTGTTGGTTGATACAATACCAAATTCTCCAAACTCACATCACAAGAATTGTATGGTAGACAGTAAGGAGAATTACTAATGAAGTCTTGGAGATGAAAAGATTAATAAATACTTTTAATAATGTACATAAAAAACTTAGTGCTTCTGATTGGCTGAAAATCAGTGCATATTTCATTAACACAAGTTGTAAGACTACGAAATTTAAGGTAGAAAATGATTTTGTAAAGTGTAAATATCTCTATTAGTCCTTTGTCAGAGCAATAGATGGAGGGCTCTGATGAATCATCAACAAATCACTCTGATGAAGGGCTAATGCTTGAAATGTCAGCTTTTTTACCCTTTATGGTGGCTAATTTACGTTTTCAACTCAGTTGTTAACACTAAATTACCTGCTATACTCTCCCACCAATACAGCACCACAGTTTCTTTAGAACTTACTCCTTTATTCATTTACCTATAGCATGGACTCCTTTTACACCGGATTAAACTATTTATTGATTAAAATAAACCCAGTTAGTTGGTTGGGTTCTACTGTAAAACTTGATCACGATGTTTTGAGGAGTCAAACTGGGAGCAATTTTTAGTTGGTTATAGTTAATTGGTTTTAGTTAGTTGGTTGGGTTCTACTGTAAAACTTGATCACGATGTTTTGAGGAGTCAAACTGGGAGCAATTCAAAAACACTACTGGAAGGAGACCCAGCCCTGATTGTTGAAAAAAAATGTTTGCATTATGCAAACACTACAACATCCAACAATAACTTGAAAGGGTTAGGTTATGCATTTATTCATCTCACAAACCCAACTATACTTTTAGGCCTGCTTTCTGCTCAAGTAGGATTCACTTTTCATAAATATGTTAATATGCAGCTATTAATAATATAACCTGTTACTACTAACATTTATACTCTAGTTACTCTTAGGAAAATCAATTATTATAGGAATAATTATTAATGATAGACAACCCTATTCACCCTCTCATTTGTAAGGAGTTTTGAAGGCCAGTTGGCTTTCTAGCTCTTATTGGTTCCCAACAGAATGACACTTCTATTGAGGTCCTATTGAGGATTTACACTGTATGTGCCTGATATCTTTTGAAATTTTAAAAAAGTGAATATTCTATAATACTAAATGTTGGTGTTGGTCAATGCATTCCGACAACATTACATTGAAATCTGAAAAAATATTTTTAACAATACCCGACATGTTGCTTACCCAGTAGGTTACTATTTTTTCTTGACTCAGTATGCATTCCAATATTTATCTCCAAGTCTATCACCCAGCTAGAATGTCAAGTACACATACTTTAGGTACATGACAAACTTTATCCTAAAATCAATTCACCTAGTGCATCCCTCTGGATTTTGTGTGAAAAATTATTAATAGGGAGCAATTCATAAACTACTTGTTCTAAAAATTAAGTCATCTTCTTCTATTAAATATCAACTGGCATTACACAACATACTCGAAGCACACAAAACCCCAAGCCACAAGTGAAAAGTCAGATATGGAGAAAAGACAATGTAAACTCATAGATCTGCCAGACTAAGTATGAATTATCAGGAAGATAAAAATAATAATTATGGATGATAAATATATATAAACTACGAATTTGAAGCAAAAGATGCTAAACAAAGATGGGGACTAGGATACCCCTATCAAACTAACATGTATTTCAGGGAAAACAAACTTTAAAGTGAAGTATGGAACAGGTGACTTCCAAGAAACACAAAATAATTATGATCATCAGTGTTCCTAGTCTTAAAGCTGATTATCTCTAAAGCGCCTGAAATAAAAACAAAAGAAAGGTAAGTTATTTTAAAACCCCTTTGGATGGAGTGTTCTAAAACTAAAACCCATTGAAAGTAATCACAAAAGCCAATCACAGCAAAGGAAGGGGCAATTGAGAACTAAAAGTAAAAACAAGCAAACTGTCTGAAGCACAAGAAAACACAACCAGGATGTGATTGGCTTTAATTTTGCATCTGACTGGCAAAGAGGGTGGCACTAGTTTTCTGGACCAGTCCTACATCAATGTAACAACAAAACCAATTTGATTCTGGGTTACTTCTGTCACTCCTGTCACTCAATACATGTTGCTTGATCCTTATTGTATTATTCCAGTAATCATGCAATTTCAGTAAATAGGACTAGACTGTACATTCATTACATTTGTGATAACAGTGTTATATATAGCATGAAATTTGCAATGTTTTTCTTTTTTACCTTCTTGCATTCTCAAGCATTTGTGCTTTCCTTTGATTAAGAAGTCTTTGCCTTTCCTCTGAATTTCGTGAAAATTTTATTTGAGGTGTAGTTGAAGTTTTCTGAAAGAAATAGTCTTGATTAAAAAAGAACAAACAAACACACTGGATTGCCCTGACTCACTGTCATGACAAAAACACTCACTTCATTAGCATTCCCTGAAGAGGCAGTCTTCCCATCACTATCTGACTTAGCTTCCCTGTCCTCTTTCTCTGGTGTGTAGCTGACTCTTCCCTCCAAAATATTGGTGATAGTTGTATCAACACAGTGTGTCTGACCTTGAATAAAGAGAACATGCCATGCATTTAGGAGGGGTGGGCTAAAAAGGTAAGGAGATGTCAGACTATGGTTGGTTGTGTGCACTTCAGTTCTTCAGCTTACTTTGTAGCAATGAGCAATGACTGAAAAGCTGCAATGTAGATGTAAGGTTTAAATCATTGCATTGTTCTACTCGGTACTTAAAATACTCCTTCTAACTGTGCAAGATGTAGTGATTAACTTCAAATGATGCACAATTGACATGAGTAACAAACTTTATCTAGCTGTTAATATTAAACAATTTACAGCACTGATTAAACATGCAACATATTACTTCACAATAATATAACCAATGAGTGGAAAAAGTAGTTGGCACACCTCCCTTTACAAGGTGATCGACAACCCTCCAACGAACATAATAAACAGAAATTATAGCTTTTAATAAATCATTCATTTATGATTTACAGCACAGACAAAACATTCAGAACAGTTTGTTAAATATCTAGCTACTCAAAATCTCTTGAAAAGATAAAACTGGAATCAAGTTCCATTTGTCTAATATATTACAAATTGGTTTCATGACAGAAATAGTTACTCAAATTTTGTAATTAAAACCAACTTACTCAAATCTCTTGATATAGCTGATGAGGGAACCTGAGGAAGTACTTCTCTAACCTGCTGTACCATTCTTGCCAGCCTTGTGTTTCGACTTGTACTGTTCAGGGGCTGACTGGGAGGGGTGCTTCCATTTGGGGCTGACTTAGGTTCCTGAGATTGGGGATTTTTATGAACTACAACACAACACACAAATAAATTATATTTAAAAGATGAGTTTTGTGCAAAGAATTTTTTTTTAATTGTTTGAGCATCCAAAGTTCTTGCAGTCAAACTATAGAAAATGCTGTGACAAACTGGTAACCAGGCACAGTGGCCTGCCTGGAGCAAGACACATTGGTTGCATCATTGTGTTAAGTTTCTTGCACAAGATACTTTGAATTGCCTTCACAATGCTCCTCTGATCTCCATCCAGATGAATAAAATTGGTTCTATAAGACTGTCTGTGAAAATCAGATGAATTGTTGGAGAGAGGGGTGGCAGGGGGTTAACTTGCTATGAACTAGCACTCCATCCTGGAGGCATTATTCCTAGTCCTTCTATGATATAGCAACTGAAGACAAGCAGCAAAAATTATGGGTCACTTTAGGCCTCTGAGACTTAACTTCACTGATGCTCTTTTAAAAGAAAAGGTATACCTGCTTCCAGGTCTTTTACATCCTGAGCAGTGAAGCCTGTGGGTGTCAGCCCAGAGGAACTAGCCATGTGCTGCAATATCAAGAACAAACATTATCATGCAATGAATGCCAAATTGTGTACTCTTGTCACTGAAAAAAACTTGTAGACAATCTATACTACCATTGGCGCTGAAAATCTAGTCACAATTTGTATAAATGTCACAAAATGGTACTTTCTGTGTTGCCATTCAACTTCTGGTCATTGTCAAGTATTGAGGTTGAAATTAATGATTTTCTCTGTCACTGTCACTCACATCTACCTACAGGTGATTAGTTGAAATTGATGCATAACCTCCTTGGTGCATTTTAGCCATTATTACATGCATTTTGAAATGGCTGGTGATCCTTGCAATCTAAACGGCTCTCATCGGAGAAATTTATCCATGAATTGCATCATGTTAAAAATGGGTTAGGGTAAATATAACTTACATGCAATGTAGGAAACCATGCTTTGAGAATTTCAAACAACTGAGTCCAACTCTTTTGCCAAATTTCTTTTGCTGTATTTTAGTAGTAATTTAGGAATAAAAAATAAATATAAGACCAGGGTGGAGGAGTGTCACACCTTCTGTATATCACTGGAAATGTCTTCTGCTTTGGATTCTACTTTGGATTCTACTGGAGGAAGAAATCTGCAAAAAAGTATTAAAAAAGGTTTCTGATCATCCACAGGATTTTGGGGAAAAAAGATAAATTAGAAGGTACTGATATTGACTGTCATGAATGAAAATATCTATGGCATAAAACAACAAAAAGATTTTAAAGATATGAATATATTTGATTAGCAATCAAGAGCTGGTGCAATAATATTTCTCTTGTATGCTAAAATAGGCATCTGCTATATGAGCAGAAAACTCAACCAGAATAATTAATTAAAGTTATAACAAAAAGGCTTCATTTCACTGGGAGCTCATAAGGATCGATCCCTTAGGAGTAAGCCCTTTTTTAAAGCAAAGAGAATCAGAGGGAGTTAACCCAAATTATCTTTGTTACTCCCCCTTACTGATGCAGCACCACTGTTTCTTTAAAAATATACCCTCATTGTGGGACACTGGCCCCTGAAGGAACTCACCTTATATTGTAAAGTGTATATGGTACAAACAAAGACCAGGAAAAGTCCTGCCACCAACCACTTCCTAAAACATGCTATCGAAAAGAGAAACAGTTTTAAAAACTTTTCTTTATATCATTGTCTTATTATTATAATAGCATTCCTTTATGATAAACAAGTTTTGGTGGATTTAAAATAGAAGAGCAACCAGGACTTGAAATTCATCTTTCCATAAAAGGCCATTCTTTGAGCAAAAGTCAATCTTAAAATCTGAAGCTTTTGGCTTTCAGTCTAAACTTACTAAACATTACTTATCTGAAGCTGAAAACTGTACGTTTATAATATCAGTTGATTGTTTATCTCAAACTGACAGCCAAAAACTTAATTGTCAGTGTGCTGAGTTTTTCTTTTCTTAACTTATAAATAACTAACCAAAGGAAACAATTTATCAGAAAAGGCCTTTTGTAACAGTTGGTCAAGTGACCTACAAATGGTAAGCTGGGGTTGTGTTAACTCAAGAAATGAAAATATCATATTCTACTTAGAAAACAGTCAGAATGCAAATATTTTCTGTATTTACCAGCACATATGTTGCACCCATGCATGGGCTGCTCCACAGATTTTTGATTAATTTTCGTGGAAAAAAAAAATTAGTGAATTGCAATCAGAGGTCACGTAGCTGTTGTAATGAAACCAATTACCAATTAAAGTAATTTTAAAGTGATGTTTGTTTTGAAATAATAGAGAAGTACAACAATTTGAAAAACACTTTACTGATGCCGGTGTCAAAATGCTTCAATAGTGTATATTAAGCTATACCCCCAAGTTTCATCCCTTTTTTTCAAATAAAAACCTGCGGCCTATCCATGGGTAAATAATGTATTTGAGGCAAAATATTGATAGGAGAGCATAATCCTCTAATGCAAATCCTTCTACTTTCTAAAAGCTACCAAAACTCTCTTAAGTGGAAAATTTTCAGAATGCCCACATATCTAAGACTATAGAAAGTAATAGAAAATCCTTAGAAGTTTACTTCCAGAACCACCCTCTGTAAGTTACAATTTCAAAACTATTAACTGAATGAGAACACAAACTCACAGGGGGTATTGGGACAAAAAGAGGGCGTCTCACTGTGATTACTGCCTGCAAAAATCAAAAAATTGTATTATTAGAAAGGTATTTGAAGATAAACACAAATACTGGAATACTGGAACTAAAAGAAAAACACACTTCTCCCTAATCTTCCAAGACCTTGGAAAATAAATTTTTAACTGTACATTACTTTTGCAAGAATTCCGAACCATTTCCATGATATTAATCTTTACAACTCCCTTACCCATCAGTGACTAGAATTGTGTTAATCTTAGTTATTGACAGAGGTAAAATTTATTCAAAGACACAGAAGATATTGCCAGTAATACCACTTACAGGTAATACAGTGCTGCTAAACTGGAAACACCATGAGCTGTAACAGTAAGGAAAACCAAACAAACTTTGTCAGAAATGCATCAAATTATTCATCAGTCACATTTTGAACTTATCAAGTTGACAGTCAATGTTGGTAATTATCATGACCAAATGCCAATGCCACGATCCTGGCCCCAATAGCCAATAATTCATGAAGAACTAAGCTTAAATTGCCATAAGCTTTTACATAGTAAATAAACACAAAACATAAATAAACACCACTAAAATATATAATTTGGTTGAAACTTAACTACATTAAGTTTCAAGCCTTAGAAGGGTACTAAATATGCAGTAAAATGTTGGGTGTTATTACTTTACACACTATCATGGCAGCTGAATTACTTTGTGAACTTCACTTTTGGTCAACAAAGAACTGAATGAAAATAAAACTGCTCATCTAAAAAGTGTAAAATTTCTTTAAAAGTACTTAATCATTGTTAATAGCAAAAAATACATCGTCTGTTAACAGTTTTAGGTCTAAGGTAATCAGCAGTTTTTAATATTCTACTGTACTAGTTTTTATTCAGAATTTATATTATTGTATGATGTTAAGCTCTTAGATTTTTAACATTATTATTGTTATTATTATTTTTAGAGTTTGTGTGATTTTGTGTGATTTTACTGACTCAATAGATTTAGATTTAGATTAAGATTAAGAAAAACTGTATGATACATACTTGAATTTTAAAAGGCCTCTCTTTCCATTGGTTATTTTTTCCTCTGGAAATGCCAGAAGAGGAAAGTCAGACCCTAAACAAAAGAAAAAAAACTATAATTGCAACAACAATAGATATACAATGAAATAAGGATCAAACTATTGCCACTATAAGTTAGAAACGTTTCTTTAACTTCAAATAACATTTTGATTGCTACAGATGCTGTTAGTTAGAAAAAAATATTCTAGATCTAAGTGTTTGATTACAGGGAAAAAAGATAATTTGAAGGCAAATGCATCAATACCATCACCTGAGTGGGAACTATTCCTCTTTTAATTTTGTAGAAAAGGTTGTGGTTATTCATAATGGTGAATAACAATAAAAGCTAAGTTTTTCATTTGCCTCACGATGTAGTCACATGTGATGTAGATCCCATCACACGTGACTACATCGTGAGACAAATGAAAAACTTAGCTTTTATCACTCCCCTTTTCAAGTTAAGTTCATCCTGCTCACAAAGGATTTGAACCCTTAAAGCCTTAAGAGTGACGCTTTCTTATTTCTCCTTGCAGTATTACCCTTGAATTAAAAGTTAAGGGAGAAAAAAGGAAAATAAATTCAAGAAGCTTCTGATTGTCAAACAAATTCTCCTTGCCAGTACCAGTGCAGAGAATATGAATGCTAATGTTAGGGTGCAAAAGGGTACATACAAAAAAGCTTAATATACTCCTAATAATATCCCTCATATCACAGCCTCCCTTACACTTCTTGTCTAATCAGGGGCATTAAAACTGAAAATGTAATAAAAACTTTTTCAAAGTACACCAATTTAAAACTTTCAGTACATAATTTTTCTAAATTGGTTCCCAATTTTTCAACTAAGACCCTTGTGCACAGTGGCTCCCTGTATATAAATGTTTCTCATTAAGTTAACACATCCAGTGATAATCAAACTTTCTTGTGACAAAAAGCTGAAATCCAAAAAAGGCAATAGTATTTTTGTTATTCCTTATTTTTTATAAATTATTATTAATACAACTCTAAATAAACGAGGATTGTGCAGTATCATTCCAACACTTTTAGAGCACAAAAGAAGTAAGTGACACATTGTAGAGTTGAGCTTCTCCAAAAAATCCTTTACACCCTATTTTACACACAACACCAAAACTACATTAAATCAACTACACCTGTAGCTCTTACCCTGTAAGTACTCTTTAATCTCTCTGTCTACATTTTCTCTTTGTTTGTCAACACTAAATTCTTGATACCCTAGGACCCACTTTAAAAGCCATGGACAATCACATCTGCTGTATGGCTGGAAAATATCAAAAGGTCTTTGCTGAATACAACATTTCACTGCAGATATCAATTAACTTGTAGGTGATAGTTTGTCTAATGATATAGAGTCATTATCAGTAGTAGTAATAGTAGTATATGGCTTCATTTATTTCAACTACTTCTGCCAGGCAATGGGGTCGAGTCACCACAGTAACAAAGGTTTAAAATTTCAGTCAGCTCTGTAACCACTTGCAGTATAAGCTTTAAACAGCACTAATCACAGACCAAAAAAGTCCACAAACAAATTGTCAAGCTAGTTTGTGAATCAGATTCAAATGTGGCATGTTCCAGCCACCAGTCCAGATACTGGTCAGCAAAATCACTTGAAAGTTTATAGAAACAGTGAAACTTTATCTTTTTAATCAGAAATTAATAATAAAGATATTTCTCAATTTTGTTTACTTTTGATTTTTGTCTTAAAGTAACAAGCCCCCTCCCAATTGTCTGAGCTGAATTTTAAGACTGAAACTCAGTCATTAAGACAACTTATAGGTCAGACTAACCATAACACTAGGAAGTATTGTTTCAACGGCAACATTATCCAGGCATGTAACATGATTGGTGACAACAAGCTGTAAAGAATAAATGAAAAACATGTACACCACAGTTAATTGTCCTTTTGTTCAAGAACTTTTAAGTTTGCAGTTTTTGAGATGATGACATTCTGTTCTCATTCTCAGAGTAATTTAACTTTCTAGAAGTTATTAAATAAAACACAGTGATAAGTTATCGACAGGGCACTCATCCATTATCTATATGACCCTGTAAACTATGGTGGGGAGCAAGTTTTGTAGACTAATCACAGCATGAACACAAGCAAAACCAATGAAATACTGGATTTCTTTTGATGCCAAAACACAAACAGTTCTTAGCAAATAAGCAATGTTGAAGAATCTTTATTAGTACCTTATGCTGATCTTTATTAAAGTTTTCAAATCCCTCATGGGTTACAGCAATCCCTAATATCTTACTAGATACTCTGAGAAGAATCCTACAAAATCAAAAGGAACACAATTTTAGCTTCTCATGTTAAGGCCTTTAAGCACATCTAGTTTATTAAAATGATTTTGTAATACTAGTGATCATTAAATACTAGTATTTTAATACTAGTGATCATTAAAATAACTCATCTAATTAATTTCACATTGAGCTGGAACATATAATATTTTGGTAATGGTAATGCTTATAAACATATTTAAAAAGTATTGGATCATTTCAAGCATGTCAAAAGACAATCATTTCTATTCGATTGGTAGTCTTTCAAGACACATCCTAGTTCTTTGGCACCAGCATTTTTTTTTTCTGAATAAAGACTCTGTCTTTACTTCACACTATATATGCATACCTGCATATGTTTACTCACTCATTTGTGACAGTCAAGTTTAGACACCACCTCAATACCATTTCCTCACTTTAATTTTCCAGATATGTAAATTTCATAGGTATGTAAAAACAATGCGCAAAGCATTTGAAAAGCAGGTCCAATTTATACACCTGTACTGACTTCATTGTATTTAAAGCTTAAAGAGTGATAAACAAAGTGGTAATAGAAACAGATATTTCTTGCATCCCTACTATTCAAGGAAATGAGAGAGGAGGGGTGCACTTACCCCAGAGGGGTGCTTGTTTGACATTGTGGTACAGGCGGGTGACAATTATTGAGTGGACGACATTTATTAGAGCATTGGCATATATTCAAGGAGATACAGCATATGTGAAAGCTTGCACTCATGCATGCAGTTTTCAAGCTATAATTGGAATTTGTGGTTAAACCTGACCACACATGAATTTTAATCTCAGGCCTCTTTAGGAGCAGCTGTACAGTGACATAGTTTCTCACCTCCTTATTATTGATCCTTTGGGTAACACTGTCAACATAAGAAGGAGCTGAAGTCCAAAGAAGATTCTAAATATCACAAGCAGGAGGCCACATGGAATGTATAACAATAGTGGTAATGGTCCTCCACCACCTGGCAGCCTAGAATCAAACAAACAAAACAATAACTTCATGTAATAATTATTTAACAAGTGAAATTGCCCCCTTTGCACAGTCTCCCTAAGGTCCATAGCCCTACATGAAGCTCCATTGCTGCAAAGTATGGTTGAGTTGCCCCAATCATGAGGTCAAGTCACTCTCAATCAGTTTTTGCTTCCTTCTCAGGGTAGACTCTTGTGAAGGCACTCATCGTTTGAAGGTTTTGATACTCAGGCTGTTGACCTTCCAAGCTTTGAAACTTATATCAAGATATGTTTAAAAACTTATACTTAGGTCATAAGTTGGGAGGGATATAACAATGATATGGAGTAATAGAACGTGGGGAAACTTTGCTAGGGGGTGATGTCACATACAAATAATAATCGTAATAGTCTAATTTTTGGCTCCATTGACTCAAAATTGATAAGGTCATACATTTACATATTAGAGGACAGACTATTGAAAAATATTGTCACCAGATAACAAGTGCTTCTAGCTGTGAGTTAACATAACAAACATATATTAGTAGGCTCCATGTATTTGTTTATTGTAAGGAAATATGATCGCAAAGGAAATTTACAAAGTAAATGATACTTTGAAGTGACAACTTGATTTTCAAAAGTTAGCGCTTTTACTCCCAGCAACTCAGTAGTCACTCTCCTTTCTGTTAGCCAGTCTTCTAAAAGTGTTATTTACAGGAATTTGGTTCTGAGCTCGAGATCTACTGTTGTGTTCTTTAGGTTGATGCTTTCATCTTTTTATATATCTATTATCACAGTGTTGTCCTAAAAATAATAGCTGTAGTAAATGCCTGTCTAATTTAGTGTCCATAAATGTGAATCTATATCAAAGTCTCGTTCTTTATATACGAGGAATTTCCCTTGTATTATTCTAAACTTCGTACAGGTTTAACTTGAAATAATATGATCAATACTTGATGCCATTTTACCTGTCACGATCCAGTAAGTCCGTAAGTCTCAAATCTAAGGCCATCTTCTCTTATAAAACACCAGAAAGCAGTCTTAGCCCATAAAAGAACAAAATGAAAATAATTTAACGTAGTTATATTCCAGGAATCACACCACGTCGCCGGTCCGTCGCCGGTCTTACTTGGGTGACGCTATAGAAGGCGTTCGTAGAGGATACACGGTAATTTTGGTCAGCGGGGACATTATGAAACCCGCGAGAATTCGAGAATATTGCGAAAGCCCTCGAATGGATGACATCTAAAAACAGAAGACAATTTTTGATTAAGACACTAGAATGCGTAATGATGGCGGCGACTAATCATTCTTCTTTAAATAAATCGAAGTTACTATTATTTATACACTATTTCTGTTGAAAACCAGTACTTCTTGGGTTATCTCGACGGGAAAAGAGACGAGTTCGAGGATATGCTCGAAAGGTTTCTTCTTAGTTTCACATGCTTTGTAAAGAAGGCCTTGCACTCAAAGGAGTTAAATCACAAGAAGTTTTCGAAAAATGGTAGGCAGTTTCTTTTATTTTTAGCTGATTTGTTTGCCTTTATCAATTCGGTGTGGGCCTTGTAGAGACTTGATCTTTGGCGGCAATTTTGTAAAAAAAACTTACGCAATGCTCCGGGCGTAAAAGTGTTGAAATATTTAAAAGTATTTCATATATAGGAAAATTCTTGGAAAACACTCTAAGTACGTAATCTAGTATACCGAAATACTTTTTCAAATTATACATTTGCAGCGTCTCCCGTCTTTGAACACAATGGTGGTAATGTACCGATCCAATTTTTTGGCAAACCGTTTACCATCGTAAGCAATGAAACTCGGCATTGCCCCCACGGACCAACAAAGGTGAGAATTCCTTTTGAAAACAGAGTTTTAAATATAATGAAACGTACCAGAAGTATTCGATTTTTGCATAACCCGCGAAAGTTTTATAATTTTTCTAGGTATTTTAGTGGAGGAATCCATCGAGCTTTTCGCATACTGAGGAAACAAAATCGGAAAGGTCACTTACATCCATTTACATCAGAATTCCCCATAAACGCAGGGTGTGTACAATTCTTGAAATTCCCGTTCGTTATTTCACGAATTATCTGACGTTTCAGTGTTGACAAATTTTTCGTATTACGTAAGTAAAAAACATTGAACTTCTCTCAACGGACTCAACGCTGCAAGGAGAATCTCTCTCATAATTTAATTTTTTAAGAGAGGCGACATTACCGTCTAAAATTCAAACGTTACTGTTAGGCTTATTAGCGCATTGATAACCTTGTAAATAGCTCAAACATACTGAAAACATTTGTATTAGTTTTTGTATAACTTTATCTGTGAGCCACGTATGAGTAAACAAAAACAGAGAAGTATATATTGATGGCTCGTTTTCATGAATCTAGGATTTTGGGAATCGCTATTAACTACGCGATCACGCATTTAGTAATATTTCTTCTTCTCTTAATGATTGATACTGGAAGAAAATAGTAACGGTGTAATGCTATTTTATGTGCCCGTTATAAAAAAAAATTGAACTCGCACTTAGCTTACTGATAAAAATCCCATGAAAATTGTTCAAAAGAAATATATCTCAGTGGTTATTTTATGACAACCACAAAATACTCAAACAAAATCAAGAAACTGCCGCAGGACCTCAAAGTTCCTTTGTTAAGAACGATCTTGAATAATTCTTTTTTGAATTTTTCGTGGGGAACAAGTGCTGAAGCTTACATGACATATTTTATATTTGACCGCTGTAATATAAACTTGTGTGTTCGACCCTCGACGAACGCCTTCGATGTAGCATCACGCGTATTACTTTAACTATCAGCGGCTGAGCCTGCGACAGAGAAATTTTCTGATCAGCAGATTCTATCATGTTAGGTATATACTTTAAATAAATCTCTTAAATCTGGTCATGGTGAATGTCTCTCGTGAAAATGTAATAACTTCTCAAATGATCTCTAGTTCTTCGGAATCTTCGGGTAAGTTGAGAACGAAATAAAGAACTTGTTAATTAGAACTTTGATGAGTTATTTTCATATGTTATTTCCGCTCCTAATAACACGCGAATGAATGGCATAGGGTCTATTTGTAAAAGTGCAGAAGATAACATTCGCCTGCTTAGAAAATAAAGAAAAGGGGCTGCTACTACTTGTAGCATTAATTATTTCCTCAGACTGCTCTGAGCAGTGATAAATTTGAGATGAAACAGGCATTATTTGCTAGGGGCCAAGTGGGCTCGGCGGGAGGGGTGGGGGGAGAGTACAAAAGAAAATGTCGAGGAAGACTAAGAACGACGTATATTAAAAAAAAAAAAATGGCGGTCAAGATTAATTCTTTTCACGTCTCTAGCATGACACTGTACAGAAATTGCTCTCTATTCCGGAAGATCATCTCTACCTGAGTGATAATACCCGATCAAAATTTATTTCAAGCCGGGTCAGGCATCTTCGACCTCAATATATGTGCACGTACAAGAGCAAGAAACAACCTCATTTATTAATCAGAACGTGGGCTCGTGTTTGCATTTAAATGAACCTGATTTGAATATCCCAAGGATCAGTGAATAAAAACAACAGCATTTGCCAGAGAGCCTTTGAAAAGGCGTGTTTACCGAGTCGCATGCTTAAAGAAGTCATTGTTGACGAAGCAAACCCTACAGGTTGGTTATAAATGATTCGATATTTTCTTTGAAGGATTTTAGCTTTAGTTCTCGCTTCGCTGTTGTTATTTTCATTTGCAATATCAACTCCGTGAATTTTAATACAGTAGGGTCTTAAACCTTCGGTTAGGCTGTTTAAACAAAATAGGACTTGCGTGTCTTTTTTCCCATTACAATACATCCGAGAAATAATTTGGCGAGGAAGGTGGAGTATTTTTTAACGCAGGTGTGCTCTGGGAATAATCTACCTTTCCATGATCGCGCGATTCAATGGCAATACAGCGACATTACAGCTGTAGCTTCCAATCAGTTTGCAGTCTAAACATTGTAGTGACTTGTACTTGCAGGATGTCGTCTTCAGTAACGCCAAGAACCACGCGAACCCCCGTGGAAAGATCGAGGAGATGGAGCGCTCCTCCGCGACAGAAGGTAGTCGGACGCTCGGTTCGATCTCCCGATGAAGTGGTCCGGGACGTTCGAGGTCTAAAGATGCGCCAAAGAGTTTCTTTGGCTCTCAGCGATGACATTCTGCGGGGAGAATTGGAGGACATGTTATCCACTCACAATGAAAAGTCGATGAACGCAGACTCTTTCCGCACGTATCAAGACTTCTTGATCCCCTCGGGAGGCTTTTATGGCGGTGGTCTTGGGGGTATGTCCGCCAACGTTATCTCAGACATCAGAGGGGCGGACACATTGCACTATTCCAAATTTGAAAGGCAATTGCGGTGTAAGGTGGCATCTGTCTATCGCCTGATACAGCTGTTTGGATGGGGAAAAGGAATCTCCGATCGAGCTGCATTTACGGTACGTACGTATACGTGGGTGTTTAGAAAATCACATTAATGTTCTACTAAGTGTTATGTTCATTTTAATATTGATGTCGTTTGTAACATATGCAATCGAAAACTTCGTAAGAGGTTATTTGAATTATTCAAAGTTTTGCTTTATTCTAGCGTTCTCTGTGGTAAAATAACCTGCTTCTAATTTCCTTTATGATGAAATTCAAGACTTCAATGGTTGCGTGTTTAGCACAAAAAGTTAAAGATTGTATTTCAGGAATTATGTACACACCACTTAAGTTTATGTTGATCACTTTGACGTGTTATTGATATTTCAAGACTCTTTCGTCGTCGTAGACATATAAGGAAATGTGTGGTAATATCAACAGCGACAAAAGATATTTTGAGCATTTAAGGTGATACTAAGTTGATGTCTCACTATTTTCCTTCTTCCTTTTTCAATTTTTGACTTAACAATTTAATCTGCCTAGGGCATTTCACAAAATGAATCCTACTAAATGTTCACTTTTGGAAAATAATTAGATCTCACATAATATACCCCGGTAACAAAGACTTGCCCAAAATGAATGGAAATTGAATTGTTTCCTATTGAACTGTTTGAAAACTGTTTACATTTCCAATTAAGTGGTCCTGGTGTTAACTTGCAATTTTATAGTGATTACACCAAAACTTCCTTGGTTCTAAAATTATAATCTATATATGTCATTGGAAGAGCAACCTTGCATATATCTGTGTTATAAATAACTGTGATTCATAAGGTCTCTGATATGTTCTGCTGTGCAGATGACATTTGGTCCAAAATGAATGATGTTGCTCTATGAAGGGATTATTTTCACTAGTGGTTTTAGTGGTATTTTCCCTTGTAATAGAAAGATTGAATATTCAAGCAAATGTTAAAAATGTATGAAATGAAAGATTTTGCCAAAACATGCAACTTTCTAGACTAAGCAACTCAAACTTTTAATCAATACAGTAATAATCCCAAAAATAAAACTACTGAAAGTAACTTGAAATATGATTTTCAGCCATAGATTTCAGACTTACAGTAAGTGTAATTTTGAGCCAAAGTGCAATTTCATCACCCAAATTCTAATTATGTTAAATAGAATATGATTTGCATATTTATTTGGAGTAAATCCAATTACAGGTATTTTTGATGATTGTTATCTCAGCCTGTTTTGTCTGATTAGAAGTGTGAATGATTGCTAGAGTTGTTTAGGGACACGGAGTTGGACCCCATGGGGTGCTGATTGGACTGTTTCAAAAAAATTCTCACAACAGATATGAAAAAAATTGTACTTCTTGTTAAGATTCTGCCAAGATGAAGCTGAAAAGGATCACAATTTTAAGTGGTTTGAGAGAGGTTAAAAATTAAGTGATATATAAGATCTCAGGGTCTATAGCTGAAGTATAGTGATAACATGTGATCATTTGACATTAAGTTAAGAGATGATGGACAATGAAATAGTTATTGATAATTTAATGTAAGTTCAGTTGATCCTTCACTTTTCCTACGATCTTTGAATGAATGAGATAGCACAGTATAAATACTGAGAGTAGAATGACAGTAAAATTTGAAATTTTTTTAAGCCTGCTGATTAAACTGGGTGATTATATTCTTCAATGAGCACTTAAATAATTTCAAGTACCATTTCTCCTTTAAATTAAATTAAAGACAGCAAACATATATGACCCTCCACAGGGTTTCAGGGAATAAGGTGAACACACGTACACAGCACGTTATCACATGCTTGCACGCTAATGGCATGACATGCTTGCCATGCAGATATGCACATAAAAACAATTGATTTTGGAAAGCGTGTTGTAGCCATTGTTCATATCTGGCTAACACGGTAGAGCTTTGTTTCTACAACACGCTAGATTTTTTTTTTTTTAACAAGCTAAGTTCTTTTGTTCCTTAACATGCTAGTTTATCTTGTACAACCCAGCTTACTTTGTTAGTTGTGTTTGTCAGCTTCTTAATAAATTATTGTGAGAATGGTGTTTGTACAGTATATTACTTACAAAATATAAGCAGAAATGAAGATCTTCTGTCCTATCCAAAAGTTGCAATAGAAAATGAAATATTCATGGCAAATCATGGCTCTTTCCCTGAGGATTTTCACTAGGAATTCAGTGAGCACGACATGTTTCACAAGGTCCAGAGGAGCTCAGTTTGAATGCATGAATAGCTTTTTTAAAACTTAATTCTTACTTTGTAAAATATAAATCCTTATCACTTCACGCAGTTAATAAGCCCAGTACCGAATCTTTGGGAATCCTTTAGCAACAGATTTCTGGCTTCATTTCCCCTACACGGTTGCTGTTCATCACTCTTGCAAACCAGCATTCTTAAAATAAATACCAGTAACTGTTAGTTAGCCAGCACCAATTAAAGCTTTCCAAGTAAAGCTATGTATTATTTACTGTAAGCCAATCTTGGCATCTTACAAGCTCTTAGTCTTTAGCACTGCAGTCTATATCTTGCATAACGCAACTGTAACAAGAGGATAATTAAAATTAAAATTGTTGAAGGTATTAACAAGATTTTTAGTTTGCAAACTGATCAAACTTGAAGTTTCAAACTCCTCTGGATGACACTACCACTGCACCACACAGACTGTTGTACTTGTTAATTAAATGAATAATTACCTGTTAATTAAATAAATAATGCCTTGGAGACTAGCAGAACAGACAAATGTGGTGAGAGCTCAGTTTACCCTCAATGAGGTAGCCATTTGCTTTGTATCATACAGGTTTGCTCTTATTATTTTAAAAGCTTGTGCTTGCTACCTTCAAAATTTCATGCAAGATTTCAAGAGCAGGGCACTTTGCTTGTTTGGCCTGTGTTTTGCAAGCTGTTTTAAGAAAATGAGGAATTCGAAAATGAAGGAAAAAAACTCAAACACATTTTTAAATGATAGACAACAAGTCAAGTTATTCCTTTATGTTTGGCGAATTAGTTGCACCGGATACTGAGTATCATATATTGATTGGGCAAATCAGTGAGCTAAAAAATCTTAAAGCTTAGGACGTACTTCTTGTACAAATCGAAAGCAACTTTAACTTTAAGAGGCATGTTATAAAATTGGCACAGTCACCATGTTATATGGTGCAAAGTTGCGAGCAAGATTTTAACAAGCAAAGTTGCAAAGTTAATGAGGCAAGTAACTTACAGCAGCTAACTTGTTGAAAGTTCGTTCTTTTCTTTTAGCATGCTAGATTACTGTGAGCTTGCATTCACCTTATTCCCTAAAAACCTGTGGAGGGTCACATATGACCTTCAAATAGATATTAAGATGACACTCTGTTACCAAGCTTATTTTAAAAGCAACTAGACCACAAGATACTAGGTTACTACAAACAATCTGCCTTCTGAGAGAAGTGTAAAAGTCTGTTACATTTTTTCTGCAATGGTAGAAATTTATAGGAAAAAGCTTACTTCCACAATCCCACACAGTTATCTGGAGTTTTTAAGGTGAAGAATTTCATTTGAAACCCTTCAAGGCTGTGCTTAGAAAAGAATTGCTGACTGTCATGCGATTCCCTTCTCTGTAAAGGGGGGGTTCCCAGATTTCAAATGAGCAAAGTTATTCAAATAGCCAAAAGACAAAGTTGTAGTTGCCTGATTGTGCAACTTGCTTCCTGCCAGAGGACAGCACTGCCTTTCATTAAAATTGCATCCAAATGTGAAACTCAAAGTAGAATTTGGAAGGATACCTGCTCATTTCTGATTGTTAATTCACCCCTCTAGCTGCTACATACTTCCTGTAAATTAGTTATGAGAATTTGGTGTTAAATCAAAGTAACAACTTCTACCTATTAAGTTTTAGTATTCTTGTTACCTGCTTGTTGGATGATGTATGTATATTAGAGGGAAAAGTTACAAGTAGATCTTTTCCAGGAGTTAAAGAGTTAAGTTATCATTGGCCTTTTGTGATACCTTAAATTACTTAGAAACATAATTTTTATGTTTTATCAAAATTCTGAGAGCAAATTCAACAATTGAATTGTTCATATTAAAAATATTGTTTTATATTAACTTACTTTTAATTTTTCCTTCTAGGTTTCTGCGTCTGAAAATGACAATGATGAGCATCAGTATTTTGTTGCTCCCACTGGTTTGTTGTTCAGTGAGGTGACTGCATCTTCCATTTTGAAGGTAGACCATAAGGGAAATGTAATGGAAACAGGAAACACAAATCTTGGGCTCTATAAGTCAGCATTTGAGCTCCATGCTGTCATACACTCAACAAGGAAAGATGCCAAGTGTGTCATTTTTTTGTCAGCTGAAGCGGTGAAAGCTGTAAGTATGATTTTGCCACTACTTTTGATATTTTAAGTTAGAAATTAAGCTGTTTGAAATAGGTTTTCCATTATGTAGTTAGGTATATCAATTGTTTAGATTTAGGAGCATGGTACTTACTTACCATTTTATATCTGTGCCTCTTTGAAATTTATAATTCAAACTTTTTTAAAATGTTTTTGGAATGGAGAAGAATTTCTTAGTAAACATTCTCTTGCCATCTTTCTCATTTGCATCCAAAACTTACATATATCAACAGCAAACAAACCATCCCATCAAAATAACCATTTTCATTTCAATTATTTGAGGGATACCGTATGATAGAGTTGCTCAAGTTTCAAGAACAAAATTCTGCAAATATCTTTAAGGTGTCTTGCCGAAAACAAAGTTAAAAAACTAACTTGAAGTTCACAACTAGCTTGACACTCGTTATGGCCCAGAAACATATGTTTTCAATTGTTCCATTTTATCTTGTCATTCTAGTTTACAAAGGAATAAAGAATTTTGACTAAGTCATGGATTGACTAATGACATTTCCCTCAGGCTTGAATAAAGACTCTAATTCTATTTGATTGTTTTCTGTTTCAGGTTTCTGCACAAAAGAGAGGATTGGTACCAATCACTCAGGAAGGAATTGCAGTAAGTGTCAGTTATTAAGCACTTGGCTAGCAAAGTGCAATTTTTTATTGTAATAGTTGCTGTTAATTAATTTTACCATAAGAGAAGGACCACAGCAAGCTAACAATTGGTTACAACTTTGATCAATTTTAAATAGAACTCAGTTATGTATACCACAAGTCAATGTGGTTCCTATGTTAAATATTGTTGTTACTTCATGATAGGTTGGAGAAGTTTCTTATCATGCTTTTCCTGGGTTGAAGCTGGATGAAGAAACACAAGATTCCTTAATCAACAGCTTTGGACCATCAAGCAGGGTATAACTAAAAAAAATGTTTACTTGTAATGTTCAACATGACCTACAAAAAGGACTGAGAATTGATGAAGTTGGCAAAGATAAACACAAATGGCAAATGACGAGATGAAGCCATATAGGGCAAATTTTTTATGATGTGTAAACTGTATATAGCCCCTTTTGTCAATGGCATCATTAACTTGGGCAGAAGTCTACTGAGTCTGCCAATTACTTTTGCTCTAAATTCAGTTGTACTCAACAATCCTTTCACAGCAATCTGTTTGATTTATGTTGTTGGTGTGAACACATCACTGTCTCTATGGTATGGAAACCAGATGCCAAGGAACTTTTTTATGCGATTGATGTATATAACATGTATGTGCTTTGTTGTGAGACCTGAATGACCTGCAGAGTATAGAGATGTTCTGAAGTTAATCAATCATCCCTTACACTGTTTGGTTGTCCAGATTCTCACCAAAAAGTGCCAACATGTACCAATTAAGCCATTTAAATACCATTGACTGCTGTGCTGTGGGATTTATTTTCTAGTTTATAAATTCTAGTTTGTTACACTCAGTAACTTAGGTTTTTTTAACTTTTAGGTTTTAGTTTTAAGGAACTTTGGTGCTATTTGTGTTGGGGAGACCATAGAAGAGACTACATATCTGGCTTACCTGCTTGTTACCGCTTGTGAACAACAGGTATGTACTGAGCTAAGAAGTTTTTCATTGTTTAACCCTCTACACCCTAACATAAGTATCTGTATTCTCAGTACTCTGCTTTATACATTTCCTTTGGTACTGACAAGGAGAATTTGTCTAACAATCAACACTACTTAGGTTAACAATTATTTTGTTTATTCTCATGATCTTAATGATTTATTCAGCTGTATTATTTTATGGAGAAATTAGATTCTGGTCACTCTTAGGGTTAAAAACAATACTTAATAATGATAAGTGTTAACTGTGGTTGTAATGAGCGAGTATCTTGGTTTTCACATTGCAATATATACTGGTGGTGAGGATGTCAGTAGGTTACTAACAGCTTACATGAATTGACTATGATAATTTTACTAGTACATCTATTAAATATTGAACTGTTGTCTTTATGCATGAAAATTTAATTTAATCCAATTCATGTTTTTTGCAAAACATAAAAATATGTTGAAACCAGAATTTAGAGCACAACTGATGTTGCTAGCTCTATCTTTCCATAAATGGATATGTATAGAAAAGCAAACTGTGGCAAGTATCATTATTGGATGAAGCTCTTGAGTTTTTGTCAGTTAAGTTCTTATGGTAAAGAAGCTTTGTTCTGATTGGTTGCTGTTGTTATTTTATCACTCCTTTGAAAACTGCTATTATAATATTAATCATAGCCAACTCATATCTAGCTTTTATAGCTGGTGTCCTTTCAGATGCTCCATGGATAAAGAGAAGGCTAAAGAGCACAAAAACTAAAAGTAGAGCTGTTAGCGCAGGAACCTATTTTTCATAACTTTCTTTACTTGTCCACCGCTCAAAACTATTTTAATTTGTTCTTAGGTATCTGCAATGCGCGCAGGAATGGACGAGCTGTTGGAGATTGATGATGATGGCAAAGAAAGCATGATGAATTCATTTTATGGAGGTTTAGATGCAAATGAGAACCAACAAAAGATGGCCGAGCTTCAATTTGAGGCCTGGATGCGAATGCTTGACTCCAGGGTAAGGGATGTTTGTGTGATTGGGCGAGACAAATTTAAACCTGCCTCGTCAAGAGTCGTGTGAAGTTTGTCCTCACTGCTAGATTTTTAGAGGACGACCTGATTATATCCGAAGATCTTCGAATGTTTTCGGAGATTGTTGGAAAACGTTTCGAACGTACATGTACCACGAAGGTGTCCTAGCTAGTTTACACCAACGTGTTTCGGATGTTCTCTCTCCCACAAATGAGGGTTTCGACTTAAATGTGTTCATTCGCATGATTTTTCTTCTCCTGTATATATTTTAGTCCGTTTATTTTCAGCTCATCATTTTTCAAGAATGAGTCGGTTTAGGTTGTGGTAGCTCGAATTTTTGGATAGTGTTCACCGGCGTTATATCGTAGTATTCCATTCTTATGCGTGGAAGGTCGCAAAGACATTAGGTTTTATATGATTGTCATTTGGGTGTCTAAATTCTCTTGGAATTATTTTGAGTTAGGTCTTTGAAATACGGCTTAAGGGTAGAAAAAGCTTCGTGAACACGGAAATTTTGTTATATCCTGAAGAGGGAGTTAAGATACTCTTTTAACTGCTGTACTTACAAGCAAAAGAATAGAAAATGTAAGGGAGAATTACTAATTAGATAACGGGAATTAGAAGGTTATGTGTCAATGAGATAGACTTCCTGAAGGATTCAGCTTTGACAAGAGAGAGTTTCTAAAGAAATGAAGCTTATTGAATCAGTGTGAAGGTAGCTGCTCACCTGTGTTTTCTTTCATTTCCTGAAAGTCCAAGAAATATTTACGTTTGCCCCGATTGGCCATTAGATCGCTTTTCGATTTACTGTTGTAAAACTCAAAACGGTCAATCTGAATGAAAGTTTTGCATCTGATTGGTTAAGAGAGTTGTACGAGTTTTCTGAACTTATCACAGAGCGAAGTAGACCAATGCAATCTCAGATGACTTTCGACTCTCACTGGAAAATTTCTCCAGGATCTCATTGATACTGGCTTCAAAGCAATTTTCAAGTGAATGTCAAAATTAAATAAGGATTACTTTCGTTCTGCTTTCCTTCGCTTTACGATTGGTCTAGAAATCTTGCCAGCCGCGTTTTCCCGCGCTTGATTCTGTTTTTGTGCGTTTGCGTCCAGTTCTCATTGGTTCGTTTTGATGTTAACCCTTGTTCTGGTTGACAGTGGGTTTTGTTTTACGACACTCAATCAAAACCATTTTACTAGAAAACTGCCCTGTTTTGTTTGTGTGAAAATTTGAGCGAAACGTGTGGTGGTATAGTCTTAAAATGCTGAACATTTCATTATCTTACTTTAACCGACGCGGCTTTTCTTATCCATGGCTGTAGGGTTGCAAGACTGGTTACAATTACCGCAACCCTGAGATCTTTAAATCAGAAGAAAAGGAAGCTAAATCACGCGAGACAACACCAGCTAAGACTTCCACAACTCGTACGGAGATGACAATCTACCGTGACGCTAACGTACGCCGCACAGCCTCCCTTGGACGAGGAAACACCTACAGGTAGCTAAAGAAATGGAGAAACGTTCACTGTGTCAATAGTTTTCGGAATTTCGTTTGTTTTTCCGACTTTGCTATGCTTGTCAATTGTTGTAAGAAACTTGCATAACCTGCTAAAAATCGAATGCAAAACAACATATGAAACTGTTCTTGTTACTTTCATGTAATTTCAGCTCTCTGCTTCCTTGTGATATTTACATTTCATCTAATAAGCCGATGTGATAACTTTAGGACAGGTTTTGTGACGCGAAGTCGAAAATAGTGAAATAGTTTTGTTCATTTCAGTTAAGCCGGCAGTAAGCTTAATCGAGCAGAATGGCAGTGTGTTTTAATTCACCACACAACCAGAGACGAAATGCTCGGTTCGTTCTTATCACAAATGAACAAAGGGGGCAAGTTTCTGAAGAAACTGTGGTACTACGGTGGAGAGTATTACAAGATAATTTGATTTTATCAACTGAGTTGAGCGTCTAGAGCTGACTTTTTGAGCGCTCTGCCCGTCTAAATTAAACTATGACTTCGTTTTCGTTTTCGTTTCCTGCACGTGGTATTTTTGACACTCTTGTTTTCTGTCGCTAGTCATGGGTTTTAAGCCGTTTTAACAAATCTGGTTTCTTTCACAGGAGTCGCCTGAAGTGGCTGAATTCACCTGTGAAGGCCACCGAGTACAAAAGAGAACGGGAGCTGGACAACTCTGAGCCGGTGCTTATTAAAGACAGACAACCTGAGAAAGATAACAAGGACGAGGAGGTAACTGGTTGTTTTTGCATACACGAAATTTCTGCGGGAAGCGCATTTTAAAAGAGTTTTATAGTGCTATGCAGGTAGAAGTTGAATTAAAATGAAAATACAACTGTACAATTGTTCGCATTTACACAGCTATGAGCAGGGTTCCTTTGTTACTCCGCGGTAAGCCTGCTTCGAAACTAACAAAAAGACCAAAGTTATAATCAAAATATTTGAGACTTTCTCCTCTTCTGTTTTTCATTAGGAAGTGTTTATCACCACCAAAGTCGTTTCAGTGAACCAGTCTGCGCCAGTCCTACCCACAAGTGATCAGGAGAGCCAAGAGGTCACGGAGGAAGTGGTGACGTATGTAAAGGCACAGGAGAGGCACTTTGAACCTCAGGAAGTCAAGGTGTTCTTGGATGACTCCCAAGATAGCCTGGACGCAAGTGGCGAGCGCACTGGTCCCGTGATTGTGGAGATAAAGCGAGAACCGGTGGGCCTTGTGCGAAGGAAGTCTGGGAACAAAGTGAAGAAGCGACGAAGTTTCCGAGAGAAGTTTACTAAAAGGCTGAGCAGTGGACAGTAGACACGTTATGCTACAGTTTTCTGATGTTTCCATCACTTGGTATGTTTTAAACAATTTAGTGCAATACGCTGAACTGTGCTCCTTGGCGAGGGTAAGGAGTAATTATCTGTTTTTGGAGGTTGTAAGAACAATAATTTCGGTCATAGAGGAAACCAAAGGTTGATGTTGTCTGCGCTTTTGTAGTTCAGGTAAATCAGAATTCTGGTGAGCGAACCAATTAAAATTTCCAACTAAGGTTGAATATGCGTGGAAAAAATTCCGTTTTTATGCGTTTTTAGAATGGGGAACTTTTTTCTTCTTGAAGAAAGCCACGTTATTTTAAACTCAAAAGAAGAGGAAGAACTCACTAGAACTCGGTCATTACACGCAGTGCTCTTACACACGCTATCTGTACGTAGTCTATGCGCCCGCCTTTGTGGTTTTTATTACACGCTCATCAGGCACAATACGCACATTCCCCGTTTTTGTTTGCAATGTTATTAAGAGAGATCTCAAACCACGTTTACGCAAAAGAAGAGTAAAAATAATCTTTTGTAACAATAATGTGTAGTATCTGCATCTGTCTTAAAGGAGATATTTTTGTAGTTTTCTGTTAAACCTACTAAGAAGGATGAGGAAATTTAAGGAATTTATAGGTAAATTTTGCTGTTCGTGTTTGCTGCAAACGTGGCATTGTGCATACGCCTCGTGCGTGAATAGTGCAGCTCAGATGAGATATGTCAAATCTTTCCTTTCATAGAGTGGGACTCGTGTTATATACTCGAGCATTTTTATAAAAGTGGATTTTTGACTTTTTAAAATGACATTTTGAGGCATGCGACAGTTATGCAGCATAGTTTTATCTTAGGGGTGCGTTTTAACATCATATAATGCCCAGAGTTTGTGCTGCGAAAGTTTGAAACCTAAAGCTTTCGAGATATCTCTAGAATTGACAAAAATAACGTATTTTCAATTGAAAGTTGCTTTCGTCTTTCTTCTTCATTGTTTGGTGTTTACTTTTTAGCTTTTAAACTGTTTTAATGCTCGTTGCACTTTTATTGTTTAATTGTTCACTATGTTGTCGTCACTAGGTTTTGATATTTACAATCAGTGATACTGGTAGAATAATTAAATAACCAGTATTGGCCATTATGCATTGTGCGCCTCTGTTTTTGTTATGGTTTTCACGAGAGCGAGGGTTTCAATGTTTTCCCAAAGCTTGTGGAAGAACCACATCGACTTAATGGCCACCGATGGCAAACGCCGCGCGTAGTGCACACTGGTCAAAACTGGGTCTTAAATTAACCTACATCATTCCTCAAGAAAGGGGTTTAAAACGACTTTTAAAGTTAATCTGTAAGAGATGACCATGGAGCTTGTTCAAAGAAATTGTTATTTAGTTTGCTAATGTAATGAACAGGCCATGTGTTTGCTTTTGTTGCTGTTGTTGGTTTTTTTTTCACTTTTTTTTCTTGCAAAATGCTTTTTTCCCATATTTGCCTTTTAATTACAGTGAAACTCTGGAAACGATTAAAAAAAAAGAAATATTTCACATTGTCGGATGTCAGTATGCATGGTCTAGTAAGGCTCGTTTAAAGTTAATTCAACACAGTGTAACGGTATTCGGAAGCGTAATAACATTAAGGTAATTCTGTCAATATTGTTTATTTTAACTTACATCCAAGGATCATACATCTTACTGAATTTTTACGCAATATAACGCCGAGAAAAAAAGGGAAACAATTTTCAAGTGTTTCGAAGTAAATGGGTAGTATCATGATAGACTCCTGATAAAAAGAGGGAAACCATTAAAAAATCTACCAATCAGTCAGCTAATTGTCAGGTTTTTATGTTACGTATGTACTGTTACAGTGGTCACTTAAAGAGAGGAAATGTGTTAAGCTATCGTAGTGCCTGTTGTAGTTTGTTTTAGTAACAATGGAATTGTACATTACCATTAAAAGCTCCTTAAAAAAGCTCTTGTTTGTTGCATCATTTGTACGCTTGTTTACTATTTCTAAAGATATCCAACGTTGACTTTATGCTCCCACTGCTGAAACAATCACTCGAGTTGAATTGTGTGAGGGCGAATTCGATTTGTTATCTTGTATTAATCAAGTTTTGGAAGAATTGGGCGGAAAAGGGGGCATGTGGTGCTGTCGTCATGGCAACAACATTTTTTCAAAATTTTTCATACCGCCTCCACTGGCTTAATTTCGGAGTTGGAATTCTCTCGAGTATTCCTCAACTTTTCCTCAAAGTTATTTATCATGAACGCAAACAGCATGTCCATCATTCTTCTAAGTTTTCATTCCGCCATGCGCATGAAGTCTGTGCAAAGCGTGAGAACAAGGGAGGGAAGGGAGCCAGCACATAAAGAGCAGTGGTGAGGAAGGGGGGGATTTTCCTTTTTCTACTCCCTCCCCCTTCCTCTGAATTTCTGAATTTTTATCTCCTTAAGTCTCATCGATTGCGAGACTCCCAGTTGGCTCAATAAAAAATGTTCATGCACAAGGCTCAAAAACTATGAAAACAATAGTTATATCTAGCTTAATAGGAAAAATACTGAAAGGATTTTTAGGTTGGAGCATTTCTAATTACATGTATTTTGCTAATTAAAGACTTTAAAAAGAAGGTTCTGTTTTACAAAGGTAAAAAAAAAACAGCAATTAACAAACGTGACTGTTTGATTGAATAGATTATTAGCAAAATAGTTCCAGAGCGTACAACACACGGATGGAGGTTGCCTATAACAAAGCCATGCGCCGTCCCCAAGAAAAGTCTATGTAGAGCCTGTGTCCACCGCTAATGGACACATCCTCGTCCCAAGAGCCTATCAATTCTCTTAGCCGACAAGGCCTTGACTAGATTGTATCAAGGCCCCTCACGTAAAGGGAATCGATGGGCTCTGGGCACGAGAAAGGAGGCACGAAACCCTAACATAGATGATCTCCCGAATAACCCGAGTAATGACCATACTTGACGCAACATAGATAACAAAACAGTCATATGGGCAATCCAATGACAATTCTGAGGACGAAATGAGAACAACATCACGCGTATTTGCGTGTCGCTATCAAAAAAGGAGGGTTTTAGATTTAGTAATTCAATCCGCTAAGTCATGTGACCAGATCAATCACGTGATCAGTAACCAATAGGGTTATTCACTTGTTTTTGCCATTTCCTAATTATAATTTTAGCGGAACGATCAAAGCAGTGTTCCTCCCGCCTAATTAACAGCTGACACCTGTCACAATGGTTCAAAGAGAACAAAAAGGTTATGTTGCGTCGAATTGAGCGCAGTGTCTTGGAATTTTGTCGGAACAGTCTAATAGTTCAAATAATTATAATAATCAATAACAAGGAACAGAATGTGCTTTCTAAATAGTTCCCCTTCGACCGTCATAATGCTGACAAAACAAATTTAGCCAATCAGGTCACTCCTACATTCCGCGCAAGCACATCAAAGTTCGCCGATATTTATGAATATTTGCATCTGAATGCATGATTTCATTTCTCGTTAGTAGCTACCCCTTTAAAAAGAAGGTTATATCATATTTTGCTGTTATCTTTTCGAGTCTGACGGAAGGCTGTGCTTTTTAACAAACAGTTTTTTTTGGCATTTGATTGTGGACCCAATTTGTCTAACCTGATTATCGCAGTATGGATAACTCAACCTTTCAAGGCCTCACTTTCATATCGATGGCTTCAAATAACAGCCCAGTTCTACCCAGAGCATTGATCAGTTCGGTGTCTTCTGCCTCTATTTGGGAAGGTTCGATGGTTCAGGAAAGTGAATGCAATCCTCAGCAAATATTGAACTCATCAGAGGATCAACAGGTTAATCACAGTGAAAGTACAGATGACAGGTACGAAAAAATGGAAAATAACTTTGTTAAAACCATTTTTTGCCGAAACTACGGCAGTTTTTTTCGAAGCAAAGAAAAATATTAATTCTTTTTTTTCAAATTAAATTTTTAAGTTCGTAAGAGTATTAGTTTTGGGGGGTAAAAATTGGTGGCATTTGCATGTTCTACGGCGATCTTCCATATGGAATTGTAGGCACATATCCCTATAGGCAAACATTACAAACGAAAAAATGGGTCGATTATATGAAGATACTCACGTACTGACATTGGTGATCCAAAAAATGGTTTTCTTACCAAATATCTTGAAATAAAAACGAAAAGCATTTTTTGTTTTAGCTTTTCGGGTGATATTGAGGAAAAATTTCTTCCATCTGCAGGTGGTAAAGTTCGAGATATTTTTAATACGCATTTGGTGCAACTTGAAATGAATCGACCAATGTTTTCAGTTTCTTAAAATCCTAAAGAAGAATGAGATTTATTTCCCTTCAGTTTCAATGTTTCTAGACTAAAAATTTTTATCCCCTCTCTGCTCGCAGTCATCTGAATTTTCGTTGCGTAATCAGTTCGTGTTGACGACAGGAATATCTTGGAAAACTTCTCTGATATCAAACTCGGAAATTTGCAAGAACCTTTTAATCCTCGTCGCAAATGAAAGGGCGAAAATCGCAAAGAAAACAATAAAGAAATTCCGGTCGGAAGGTACTTCAATGATAAACTTATGAAACGTACCTGCTGGAAAACAGGATAGCACTGAGAATCATAATGAGTTTTTTCAGTTTGTATGAAATTCCAGTTATCTGTAATGCTTAAACATAATGTCTACTTACTTAATGACACTCGCCCGTTTTTATACATGAAAGGAGGGCCAGCCTTTCAAGGCCTCACTCGGTTACGTCTTCGTGGCTTCGATGGTTAGTTCACGGGTTTAACATGTCGGCAAAAACGATGTCGAGCTTTCTTTCTCGTTACATTTATTTGATATTTGATGGTGGTTCTCCAATAGTAAAGCTATCTCTTTGTGAAAGCACCGGTCATCATGTTTAAAAAAGCTGTTTTTTCGATGAAAAGAGTTTATGTTTCAGCTTTGCTGACTTAAAAATATTTTATTTGAGGAATTTTTGTTTACCGAATTTCTTTTAAGAATAAGCTAATTGTATAATTTGAGGCTTTAACAAAGTCAAGCGTTTCAGCTTATCGTAGCATTTAAATTATGAGGACTAAAGAATGATATTTTAACCAAGATAACGCTCTTAAAACCGAATTAACCGAGGTTACCAGAGTAGTAAACGGTTGTGAGATTTAAGAGATCTCAGGCTTTGATACTGTCGGTTTATTTTCGTTCGACAATGTTAAGAAAAAGCAAACTGTTGGACTAGTTTTCACCTGATCTAGGATGACTGGAGTCTAGAAAATGAATTATTTAACCATTTTCTTCAATTATCTTCATCAGTCCTCTCTCCGCACAAGAGCAGCAGGGATCATCAGACGACCCCGCAGATGCTTGGTTCAATGCTGCAGGGATCCTCCTGTCCCTCAAACACGCGGCCGCTGAGAGGAGTGCTAGGATGGGGAACCCAACAGATACCCCGCAATGGACCCCTTCTGTGGGCGACCCTTCGATTTCGCAATCACAGGTTTGAAATTTCAACACTAACCAGGCCCCAAATCTTCTAAAATTTGTCATCTTCAGATTGGTGCTCGGATCGCATTCGTTACCAGCGCCCTGCGAGAAGAGCTGGGAAAACTGGGTCGAGTACACCATTGAAGTACAATTGGTAAACCTTCCTTAGCTCGATTACCAGCCGCTGTTCGGGAAATGAGCCCGCGACGCTGATCCCTTTGAGAAGATCGAAGGACTCGAGAAAACGGCGAAAATCGAGATTAAAACCCACCAGGAAAATTGAACGAGACCAATTTCTTCTATCTTTTTAATTTATTTTTTTTTTCAACTGTGATTTGAAACTGAAAAACAATAGCTTTATAAATAACGTTTATCCCTATACGTTTTCGGAAAGCCTCGACTTCATGTGCTGGTCCTCAGTTTTCCTGAACTCGAATCCAAATGGGTCCTAGTCTCCCGCTGCAAAGGTTTATATTGCAACTACCTTCACTTTTTTTACCATGTATCTGACATGACATTGTGACAGAGATTGATTTGTGTCAAGCCACTTAAGATTTTATTCACAAAATATCGTTTAACCTATCAGTTTTGATTGTTTTCTTTTGGAGACCTCCTCAATTTCAATGGATGGATTTGCTTCTGCAAGTGTGGACACAGCAGTTTTCTTGTCAGCTGCTGTACACAACCCATGTGGCGCAGAGTGTGCTCAGGATTTCTATTCAGGATCCATTTTTCAAGAGGAGACAGTCCTGTCTGACAGAGAAAGCTCAGACGTGCCTGGGTCCAAGGCAAATAAATGCCGTCTATGCGACAAGGTATATGCCCGGCCTTCCACCCTACGCACGCATATGCGGACCCACTCAGGAGAGAAGCCCTACCAGTGCCACATTTGCATGAAGTCTTTCTCACAGGATGCAAATCTAACTGCGCATTTGCGAATCCACTCGGGGGAGAAGCCTTTCAAATGCTTGGTGTGCGATCGAAGGTAATATAAGCAACTACTGAACTTGTGACTTGGTTAAGGTAGTCTGGGACTTTGAAGTGACTACATCTAATCTACTTTGTGTTTTTCGACTGCTTATTGACAGAACGACTTTGAAGTGACCACATCCAATCTACTTTGTGTTTTTTGACTGCTTATTGACAGAACGCCTACAATAGACCTTCATGATTTGTTGTGCTACTCTTTCCTGGATTTCAGCCATAGATTCTTAATTTATTTTTAGTCCCGAGGATTCTATATTAGCATATTCTCTGACCTGCGAGCAAACCCATCATTATTAGCGAGCGCGTTGCTTCGCAGGAAAGTATAATGCCTTGAGCAACGTGAGCCGACGCGAGGGCTGCAAGGGGTCTAGTACTGATAATTATTAGAGCCAGACCCCCAGCAAACCTCTCCCTGACTCCTCTCAAATCTTCCCGCGGGCGGATAAACGTGTGTCCTGCTGCTCTCAGGCTACATTCTCCTTCCTTTTACCCAGGTTTATTACATCTTGACCTCTAGAAAACTACTTTGTGTAACATCCTTGTGAAAGCTCAAGGGGGAAATCATGTTACTGATTTGCGATATAACCATATTTTTTGTAGGTTTGCCCAGTCCTCCTCTGTCACCACACACATGCGCACTCATACTGGTGAGCGCCCTTATCGATGCAAAATGTGTTCTCGGGGATTTGCCGACAGCTCCACTCTGACCAAACACCTGCGAACTCACACAGGAGAGAAACCATACAAATGTAAGATTTGTCAACTTAAGTTTTCCCAATCAGGAAATTTGAATCGACACATGCGTGTACACGAACACGGCATGTAAGCAAGCAAACTTCTTCCAAGCCGAGCTAATACGTCCGCAAATCCAATATTGCTTGCATCATGTATAATTTTAATGAAATAGCATGTCTCCCACTAATTGTTTTCCTGGGAATCGCTATTTAAGATACCTTTTAGAATCATAATTTTGCGCTCAATTTTGAGTGAACGAGAAGAATTAACTGAATACAATTTTTTCCTATGAATTGTTTGTAGAATTTGTTTGTTTAAAGACGCCGGCCCTTTCGAATGTCTCATGTCTGTCCAATTAGTTTATTTGTCAAATTAGGAAAAGTCCTTCCTTCTCTTTTCCTTATTCCTCCCCCCTCCCTCCCCTTCTTCGTTTTTCTCTCCCCCCCCCCTTAATTTTTCGCTTACCCCACAAATTGACTGTCTGAAAGAGGCTTAGCTGCTCTGAGAAAGTTCTATGGTTTTTACTTCCGCTGTTGTAATTTTGTAAATGAATCAAATACTAGCTTAGAAGGAGTAATGATTTATCATGTTGTGCCAGGTCCTTTGCATGGATTCATGAATGAGTTGAATCTAAACGAGTTGAACTTAATACGCGTGTTGTATATGTTGTAGATGCTGGCTCGGTGACTTTATTTAGAAACAAACTTCATACCTCTTGTACGAATGTTGAATAAACTACAACGAAAGAAAATTTGCTCTTATATAACTGATTAGACTTATGTGACAAACATTTGTGAACCAAAAAGTATTTATTTATTTTAAGCAGGGAAATTTGTTGTTTGGTTTCATGTTCTTAGAGGGCTGTTCAGTTTTTTTTGTTGATCGCGATTCGAATTTGCTGAATAAAGTGTTGTGTTATGTGATATCAAACAGAGTTTGATTTCATAATTTAAGCTCGAGGAAATGTTAATTTAAAGATTTTAATATCTCCAAAAGGACTTTTTGCGCACGACAAGTGTTACAGAATTTCAAGAACAACAGTGCAGCTCCCACGTTGGAGAAACATCTATGAAAGAAAAATTTTCTGCGATAAACTTTGTCTAACGGATCGCATTACAATTCCAATTTGTCACTACTAATTGGAACGAGCGTTCAAAATTCCGCACACACAGAACCAAAGTAAACTCCGGAAATATACCAAGACATAAGAAACGTCATGATTTCTTTTTTATAAACGTTATTTAATTTGTCTTCTTTATTTCTGGAGAGTCATACCCTCTCAGTTACTCTTATGGTAGCTTATGGTTTACGATGATAAAACTAAATCACATTCTGAACAATTGAATGAAAGGTGTCCAAAAGGTTTCTCTGTTCAATTCAGCCCCGCTTCATCAGTAACTTGGTGATGTTTTTGTTGGCGCTGCTAGATCTATCGTCTATCTTTCGCAAAACAAAATCTCAGAAAGTTTCCCTTGGTTTTTCACTATCCTTTGTCTTCATAGTCGGGGTCTTTCTATCTACGCTACTAATCACAAAGCACTGTTAAGACTTTTTGCAAGCGGACATAATTATCACGTACAGTTCTTTTTTTAACTGTACTATGTACAACTACTTTGTAGCAATAACAGCCTAGGAGGTGTTACGACTGCATGTGTCCTCTTTTCCCGTGAGAAACGTTAGGAACGAAAACGCTGAGCTGTGTCACAACTAGGCTGCATGTGTTGTGACGAAGATAAGTTGTCAAAGGCTAAAGTTGTCCCTTGAACTTTAGTAGGCGTCGTTGAACTCCGAAGGCGCGAACTAGAAAGCATGGCTTCTTCGGTATAGGTCGGATAACGCGATCGACTCTCGCCAAAATCTACATCGATGGGACCGCCGAGCTGACAGCAACCCCACCCACTGGATAGCTTTTCTTGGGGGTTAAACACGTATTTTCCATTTCTGTAGTTACAACGGAAAATCAGCTTGTGAAAGGTGAAACGAAACTCACGGTTCCTGATAGTATAGATGATAGGGTTAATGCAGGTGCTCGCGTACTGAAGCCATTTAATTACCTTAATAGCAACATCATAATCACATGTCTTGTGGCCACAATAATAGGTTACTATGTTGATGATGAAAAATGGCCCCCAGCAGAGAATGAATGCACCAATCACGATCGAAAGAGTTCGCGCCAGTTTGATCTCGATCAACACGGACCCAGTCCATTTTGCACGATACCGAACCACGCGGTAAATGTTTCCGTATGAAAACAAGATTAACAACAGCGGAATAAAGAAGCTCAGAGTCACAACAAACATGGCATAATTGAATTTTTGGTATGCAAGTCGAAGCAAGGCAACGAAAAGTGAAAAGATCCATACACCGAGGATTGTCCAGCCAGCGAGTTTTGTGCTCTTCATGCGATGTTTGTAAACTGTCGGATAAACCACAGCCGCAAATCTGCACAAAGTAAAGGAAAAAGTGATCAAGCGGGTGTAGAAAAACTTGCATAGTACGCGCACCTTGTCGCAATTTGCCCTGGGAAACGTATCATACGCAACTTGAGTGCGCGCGTTTTATGGGTTTTGTGCAGCTAAAATAGCAAGTAAAGTACGCATCCCAGAGACAAACTTCAAAATGTCTTGTAGCCTGTGAAATTTTTAACAAATTGTTTTAAACATGCTAAAAGAAAGAAAATGTGTTTAAAAAAAAGGGCGGGAAATAGAAAATTGTTTTACATACTTAGTAACGGCATGAATAAGAAATCATATGTTTTCTAGAGTGTACTTCTCTAACTATCTTCAGCGGTTGCCAGACCGTAACATTTAACGTCAGATTAAGCCAAAGGCTCTCTTACTCTGCGAGGGCCAGAAACGAAAACAGTATAGGACACAAGAAACTACGAGAAGCAATTGGTGAGCTGGCAGCATGCGCGGAGAAAATTCAAAAGGAGACGAGATAGATAAAATCAAAAAGAAAGCTTTGCTTTTTCTGTCTTTTCGGTTTCTACTTCTTTTCCGCAGGGTCATTATGCGGGTGACTCAAGTAGCAACAAGACGTATACAATAACATGGAAAAATTTCCAACTAAGTTTCGAAATTGATCTGGCATTTGGTTTTGATCAGTCGAAAATTTCTCACCACCTTCTCAACCGATCGGATGCAAATCAAAATCAATAGTGACTTGGTCACTTGCGTTTACCCGCGCTTACTTCGAGTTCTGATTAGCTCCTAGTGATATTTTCTCTATTATGACTAGCCGATATGATTAATCAATCGCGAAGCTCTTTTATGAAGTTTAAGGAACTACGAAAGGAAATTTAGAGTCGCTTTATACGCCAGGTAAATTTTGCTTTCAACATAAGCAAAGCCGCCACCAAAGATCAGTTTTGGTAAGAGAGAAAAATAGCAAGTCGGGAAAAATCAACCTAAGAGGAATAGGGAAAGGTGTTAATGGAGAATATTGACTAGGACTGATAATGACAAACCAGGAATCAACTTCATTTCTATGCCCTGATCCAACTCATTACAGCTTTTCTAACCTGTCAATGCTTATGGCAGTCATGTTCCAGATCGAGGCCGTACCACACAAGATGTCGAATATGATGAAAGCTTCGTAAAAACCGTTGTCAACCTCACTTTTACAATGGGTTCTGAAATGTAGAACAACAGAATGGTGAGTATACCACGATCAAAAACTCTTTCTGCAAAGAGTACTGCATCGAATTTGCTAGTTTCTTTAGCTCAAAGACAAATCTTTCCCCTTTCGAATTTAGAACGTTTTCGTCTCATATTTTTACTGTGAAAGAACTTATTTAAAATAACATCGATCGTTTTAAAAAACTCTGACGGAACATATTCCTTATCGTCGAACGCCAAAAGTCAAAAACACTGTTGACGTTTACCCAAGAATTCTTGGCTTGCATGAGTCATTTTTGTAAGTCACATCACATGCATAAAATCTCCAACGACAAAATTCTGTTTCTTTAATTTGCCTTTTGACCGTGGCTGTTTCGAGAAATTTCTCAAGTGCGGAAATTCCAAAAAACGATGAGTGATGGCAGGAAGTACAAAAAAAAAAAAAAAACGCACTTGACCGAAAAACCCACTTGGAAATCAAATCATGTAAACAAAACAAAGCCTATGAAGCAGCGGAAATTGTTGTTACAAAAATGTCCTTTCCTTCGGTATACACTTACATTGAGCAGGGGCATCTGAATAATGTGGACTCAAAATTATAACTAGTTTAGATGTTGTCTGCCTCAAATGCTTGCCCTTTTATAATAGATAGATAACTGATTATACGACTCGCGAAGAAAGTTTATTTACTGTAGTTTAATTTATTCGTGTTCGCCTGAAAAGAAAATGCCTCAGGTGTGAAACTCTGTCGCTTGTATTGAATAAATTACGAAGATTTCCAACAAGCTCGAAAAAGACAGGGAAAAAAAATTAACATAACAAACCCTAAACAAATCCAAAGATTGTAGTATCGAGCACGGTGAATGATAACGTGACGACATATTATTATTTTTGAATACAGCCTGTATCCATTGTGTTCTTTTGCGCTAATAGAGCGCGGTGGCCGTCGTTTACAACGATAATCTTCGTTTCATTTCAAACAGCTTTCTCCTTGAATTGCTTTATTTCTCCTGTTTCAGAGATTTTCTCTTTGAGAGAAAGAACATTTTCTATTTTTGGAACTACACACCTCGTTACTTCGCCAAGTCACGTCCCAAAGGGGCATCAAAATAGTTGAAATCGATCAAAAGAGCGAAGGTCTACTTAATTTTCACTTAAGATAATTGTATTGCCTCCACAGGCACATATATAGATACGACGTTGTCTTATTACTTACTTCTTCATTATGTACATCCAAAGCGGGATATTAAAGCTCCCGACCAAAATATCCGACACAGCCAGTGAAACGACATAATAGTTAGTGAGAATCCTGAGGCGTTTGTTGGTTGCGAATGCCGCGCACACAAGTCCGTTCCCGAATATGGCGAGGATAGCAATTAAAAAAAAGAATATTAGGGATGTCCAAAGTGATCCGTCCAGTGTACAATCAGCCATGGCCCTCGACTTGTTCGTAGTATGAATGTGTATCTAGGTGGTAAAGAACATAGGCAAAGTTAATCCGAACAAAATGTACAAGCCTCGTTAATGAATCCATTCTTTGACCCGACAAGTTGTCACATTTACTGACTGGAACTCACATCAGGCGCTCGCGAAGAGTAGAAAGTCTGATTATCCCCTAAGTTTTGCGCCATAAGTTTGTGATCTGCTTTAGTTCCGCGAAACGCAAATCAAATATCGACAAATATCTCGCGAGCCTGGTAGTTCATGCATCACCTTATCTTCGCAAAAATCACTCAACGCGCTGTCAAGTTTTGATGAGTCTAAAGAAGTGAGAGTGTTTACCCTCATTCAACGATCAGGGAAGAAAATGAATTCAAAGTTTTGGAGAGAGGCGGAGAAAAAATTATCCCGACGAAATGATCGCGGGGGGCTGAAATAATAAAAAAATAAGTTCCCTGGCTCTCTAAGAAAATGGATTCAAATCGAGGACAATTAACACTTTGCCTGAACCTCGTCAAGAAACAGCTGTATTATGCCCACGTATGTGATTTTTTTTTAATCACTGCTTTGACTAATATCTGTTCGACATGGCTCTATTTGGCAAATGCGGACTTGTTAATTTTCAAGCTATTCAAACAGGAAATTACAAGGGAGCGGGCTTTCAAACCGCGGCGACGGAAAGTCAATTAAATCAACAGACAGAAAGGGTCAACTCATAGATGCTTTTTTCAAATCAGTTGTAACGAAACTACATGACGCTCACTCTTTAGACACTAACGTAAACCTTAGAGCAATTTTCTACTTAGTAAGAATATTTGATCATCAGCATGAATTTTTGAACAAGGTATTTTTGAATAAATGCTTAAGTATTTAGTCTAAGGGTATAACTGTCACGCATAGCAGATTCTGAGAACAATGAGATTGAACTGGAGCAAATTTCTTTGTATTCGCCCCTCTTCAATTGATATTTCGGAATTTAAAACTAAGGTAAACTTTCGCGTCCGCAAATTCAAAGCGGCAAGGGGGTATATTGAACAGGCAGAGCTCGCAGCTTTATTTGATTCCCGTCGAAAGCATTACTATTGTAACAGTAATGGAAAAAACGCGTATGAACAGTGCAATACATTTTCATTGTTGTCTCTGCAGCCACGTTTAATCTTTGTCGTAAAGTACTGACGTTTTAATTCAACCCCTTTAATACGTCACAGAGTGACCCCAAACAGTCGGCTCTGATGAAACATGAAAACAACTGCTCACACGTCATTTGTCCTTCAAATGCAAAGTTTGAGACAAAGCACCCACGCGAAAGTGAGTCATTCTTTAGTTTCAAACTTGCATGAATTGACAGCTGAGCCGCGATTTTAATATTCCGACAATTCCTACGTGCTCGGGAATAATTGCGAAGGCAAATTGTAGAAGCTACCTTGTATAAATAGTTATTGATGGTTGAAGGAAAGGAAAACAAAGATATGTCAAGCACGATCAATGGAAGAACAACACAAACTAATTTCAACAACTTATCTCTCTGTTTTAATTTACATTTCGCTCGATGCATCCAGGTAGGAAATATTTCGACGGTCACAAAACGAAACAAAACCAAAAAAAAAACTTTCGATCCTGGTTTCTTGTGTAGTTTCGATGGAAACGGAAGTTTCTTTTCATGCTTCCTCGTGTGCTGACTGATAGACCCTTTGGCAAATGACGAAAATTAATCAAAACTGCGAACTAAGAAACTACACGAGAATTATAGACCTCGGCTTTATCGGGTAATCCGCAAACTTTCGTTTTGCCCAGAGATTTTTCAGCTGAGAAAAGGTCATTTTAATCGTAGATAGATTACGAGACAATTTATTGATTGGACTCTTACATAACCCCGCCCTCAGTCAAACAAAATACCTCATCAAATTTTTAAATGTGCGCAGTCTAAGACCGTCCCTTCTCCGACTATGAGGGAAGAAACTTCAAATTTTCAGAATCGTTACGTAGATTACCAGCAGTCCCATTTTAACCGTAAAGTCCGTCGTGTAACTCAGTAGAAATCCGCCCGGCAAATGTAAAACTGGCCCTAAACTAATTCCGTATGATTCGCGCGACGAACACACTGGGAAAGGGAACTGACCGTATTCTAAGGGTCACCTTTTGGACCATGAACTGTTCTCATAGTGAGAATTTCATTTCCCTTCGAAGAATCTTTTATTTTGATCACTGTTTTAAAGAAAGTTCTATTTCACCAAAAACTAACAAACTACTCGAAATGATTAAACTGTGCTAATTGTCTCACACGCTGTTGAAATTCTTCTTGTACACAAAAGGGCAGGAAAATTGTTATTTACGACACAGTTTTCGCCCTAAGGCTATATCTTGCCGAAATGAATACCCATTAGAAATGTGTTTACGCTTGTAATTTCTGTTATTACACTTTAAAGGAATAAACATAGGAACAAACATTGAGTTCAAAATAAAAACATAATCCTGCATAATGTTGCTGTGATCACGAAAGCCGAGAACATGACATAAGCGTCAGTGTATCCAAATCTTGGTCCACTATCAGTAAGCTGCAGTGACGATATTCAAAAGCGAAATTAGTAGCCATACTTCAAAATCAAGTATTAAACGCAGTGAAACGCCTTTTCATTAACGATAACTCCCTTGGATGTAGGAGACATGCGCGTGTTTGCTTTGTTTGACGTGATCCTCAGCAACCGATATGTTCTGTCCTTATTTTATGTTTTAAGATTAACAAGTGGGTTTTGTGCTTGCTCACAGTCTTTTTCCTAGTTCGTTTATTCTTTTCTGTTCTTTTTAATGGTCCTCTTGCTGAAGCATTCATCCTCAGCAGCTTTGGTAAAATAGAATGTACTAGTTGCAGCTCATCAGAACCTGGTATATGTATCTACTATTTAATGAGCACTTTACATCAATTTGGAAATCGATGAAAAATATTGTAAAAAAAAAGTAGAACTTCGGATTAAGGGGAGGGAGTTGTACTTACCCACACTCCCTTTCGACACTTTTATGAGCCCTTCTTGATGAAGAAATTTAGAGATTTCTTTTCATGAACTCAAAGCTGAGAGTAGAATCTACAGAAAGTGTTTCTACTCTTGTCTACTCAAAATGAGAAAATGTGTTACTGGGAAAGGCTTTCCCTCTATCATCACTGTTACAACTAAAAAACCTGCCTTCTGAAGAATGCTTTTAATAAAATGGCGCGTGTTTTTAAAGATTGCTTTTTAACAGTTCTCAGAGAACAACAAGGCACTGAGTTGGCCATCTTCCCATTAAACGTATCAGTACAACAGGTATATACAAGGGAAATGTTAGATAATACATACATATATACCCACCGAATCCAAACAAGACGTATTCTCTGAGTGAATTATAACATGAAGTGAGATTTCCACCTGCCTGTAAAGTGCGCTATGGTAGGTAACGACTTTCGTTGGAAAAATTCGTGAACTGATAACTCAGTAACGATAACCAGTTCTGGGACTATCGATTTCGACCTTCCGACACCGCCTCCGAAAGTTGAGAACTCAAGTGTAATCTTATGGTACATCTACAATGAATGCAGTAGATGTTTGTGTGAAGAAATATATTATTTAATTCAGTCAGATTAAAACGATTTTGCGCTGCCACTCAGTCTACGTGTTTCGACAAGGTGAATTGTTTGTTTTCTTTAATCTAATCCGATTGGATCTTAGACATCTTAAGGGAAATGAGAGAGAGAGATAAAATTTTATTTGAAAACAAAATACGGTGAAAGTGATTCGCATTGATGACTACGCAATTCCTGAAGGCGAACAATGTTTACTCAATTCATCAGTAGGAAATAATGAATGAACTTCGACTCTTCTTTAATTTTCTGGTGCGGAAATTATACGACGTTCAACACCTCGAAGGCGATGAATTTTCAGTTTTCTTCAAAACTTTTAGCATTTTAAAAGAAATTCGATTTGTCAGTGATTGTTATTCCATTATCCTATGTTTTCTTCCGGTCTCGGATAATTGTTTCTGATAAACGAATGAGTATTCATTCCAAGATTTATGCATAATATATCACCACACAGCATTACACAAACAAAAATTTGATTTGAATTTATGAAGGTAATTTGTAAATCTGCAGGCAGTAGGGAGATCGCCAAATTTTCATTCAATCATTCGTCCATTCATCCATTTATTTCTTTATTTTCAAGTTAGGATCATAAAAGTACACGAAAAAGTGAAAGATTCTTACAGAAACATATTTTAAAACTGTTACAACTCATGTTATTACCGGCACTGTCGGGGGCTTGGAAGGGGCTCAAAGACCTCAAGGATTTTCATACCCTAATGATATGGACTAGACAGCGACCAAGCTCTCATTATTGACGCAGCCGGGTACGCGTGTTTTTTTTTTTCGCTCGCGACTAAGTGTATGATGCCTTGAGTAAAGGGAGCTGGCGAGAAACCACTTACAGACCTCTCGCCTGCTCGATTTTCTAGAGGTGTTAAACTTATTTGGTCGAAGAAACGCTCGCACTGCAGCGCTGATGATAAGAACCGGCTAAAGGCTAAATATTGATAGGAGAACATGATATTAAACTTAGATTCCTGGTTTAGAACATCTGTCTCGTCATGGAGCGATGATGCAGTCTCGCTCTATTTTCATTTGGGTTCCATTTTATGAATTTTTGGCTGGGATTAGCCCCTGTCAGATTGTATTTTGATTTTGGAGACGGCTAGAAACTTTCAGCTTTTTGGAATTTTGGGGCTACTTCGGGAAGTGTTTGTGGAAACGGAAAAACAGACTTAACCGTAGCTTAGAGTCTAATAACATTTCAATTCATCGATGATGAATTAAACAAACTGATCGCATGATTTGTGGTTGATTTCAACTTCCGATTTATTTGGCTTTTTATTTTGGTATTACTCCAAGGAATTTAGTCTGCGGCTTCTAAGGTTTTCCTTCCCTCTTAAAGTGACCTATTGTTTTCAATCAAATTCCTTTGGACCTTTCTCTTCTAATACTCCATAGGGTTAATAGGCTTATGTAACCGTCTATACCCTAATGTTGATGTGCATATTTCTACATCCCGTTCTCTGTAAATTTGCAAGGGTAACGACAAGGAGAATTTTTCTAAACTGCAATCACTGGGATATATATAGGTAGTCTACCCCGGTAAATAAAAAGCCCCGACCAGCGCGATTGATAATGGAAGAGTGCTAAGCGGTTTAAAAAGTCCTATTTTGTAGGACTTCGCCAGCTCGAACTTCCTGCCAACTTAATCTATCAGCAGTTTCCCTAGATGTGCATTTTCGTAGTTATTTATCGATCATCTTCTAACTTTAACCCCACAGTATTTCGAAGTAGACTTTGTTTCCCTCGACCGAGGGTTAACACCAAGAAATTAAAGGTATGGAAAAGCACTTAGTTTAGATAATAGTTTAGTAACAATATTATAGTGCGCAATTTTAA